GGTCTTTCCCTTCCGCCCCAGCTCCAGCCTCACTGCTCTGCAACCTGCCATCCCTCATGGCCAGCGAGCCCTTGGGCATGCCTTCTCGGCCACCTTATGATCCCCTCAAAGGCCAAGCTCCTGCTTCCACCCTCAGCTGGCCCAATGTCCCTGCTTCCATCACTAACCCCGCACTGTGGACTGGCTCTGATCCGCCACACCGAGCCACACCCTCCCGCCCCTCCTTCTCCAGCCTCCTGCACCCAGAGCTTCTTCCCCGCCTCCCCGGTAGCGTCACCTGGGATCGTGCCTGAGCTACTCCAGAAGCGGCCTCCCCACTTCATTTTCCCCACTGTTAGCCCACACCTCACTCCACTGCCAGGTGAATCTTCCAGAAACACTGTCTTCCCCAGATCAGAAACCACCCATGGCCCCTTCACCCTCAGTGCTGGATTAGTGGCTATCTCCTGGCCTGCCATGATGTTCCTCCTGCACCTGCACAAACCCTCCCCTCTAGGCAAACTCAGTGTCCCCTCTGTGCCTTTGCCGATGCTTCCCCGCCTGGCCTTAGCACCGCCCCTCCTCTCTGCCTAACGGGCAGTGGAGTGAGTGCTCAGAAGCACAGGCTTTGGAGTCAGAAAGACCTGGGTTTGACTCTGTCTCCACCACCCACTGGCTCTTGGGCAACTGACTTAACCTCTCTGCCCCTCAATTTCTCCATCTGTAAAATGGGGCTACACCACCTTTCAAGGTGCCTGAGGGGTTTAGGCAAGATGATGATTGTAAAAAAACAAGAAGAGGGCTTCCCTGGTGGCGCAGTGGTTGGGAGTCCGCCTGCCGATGCAGGGGACGCGGGTTCGTGCCCCGGTCCGGGAAGATCCCACATGCTGCGGAGCGGCTGGGTCCGTGAGCCATGGCCGCTGGGCCTGCGCGTCCGGAGCCTGTGCTCCGCAACGGGAGAGGCCACAGCAGTGAGGGGTCCGCGTACCGCAAAAAAAAAAAAAAAAAAAAAACAAGAAGAAGTGCTTCATGCAGAGCCTGGTTATACTAAGTGCTCTGCACGCTGGAGCCGTGCTATTGTTACTCTGATGCTTTGGTTCAGGTGCCTCCTCTGTCATGAAGCCCTCCCTGATCACTGTGGCCTGATTTCACAGCATCTCCGTGATGTACTGTCCTGTTGTCTCTGCGGGGCTCTGCTAGTTGGGGGATCATAGGCAAGTCCCCTTGCCTCATGTGCCTCAGGTCCTTCATCTGTAAATTGGTCCTGAAAATAGTACCTACCTTGTGGGCTTGTGGCGAGGGTTAGTGAGTGAATGTATGTGAAGCGCCTGGCACATAGAAAGCTCTGTAGGAATGTTAAGTAGTATTAGTTTTACCGCAGTCCCATGGCATCTCCTCTGCCTATCCCTCCTGTCATCAAATGAACTGTTAGTGCCCTGAGTGAGGGACTGAGACTCCTACTTCCATGAGGCCTCCCCCAGCACCCAGCAGGGAGTGGTGGGCCCTCGAGCCTCCTCTGCTTGGCCTTCTCAACTGGCCATCTGGCAACAACTGCTGGTTCCACTGAGCTCTGAGACCTTCAATGCTCCCTCAATGCCAACATGCCAAAGTCTGGGTGGGAATGGAAGTCCTCAGATGTGCCTCTCAGAGGGGCCATGACCTCCAGAGCCCCCTACCCTGCCCTTGAATGCCCTGTTTCTCCCAGGCCTCCGGTCTGTAGGAGTCACCCCCAGGGACTCGGGAGAGCCCCTCTCTCCTACAACTAACAGCCTCTCTTCTTCCCGAGGTGCTGCCCCCGACTCAGTGAGGGGCCCCAGGGCAGAGTGCAGTTACAAGGAGCCAGAAGGTGGGATTACACGCTGACATGGGCCAGGGGCCAGTGCTGGGTGTTTATTGCCAGTGCCATCGACCCACACAGCTCACTGTTTATCTGTCTTCCTGACACACCTAATTACCCAGGTTGCAGCTGCCAGAGCGTTTGCTCTTCCTAAATCACAGGCTCCCATCCCTCCTGTCGCCCAGGCCTCCAGGCCTCTGCCTGCAGAAGGACTGCCATTGATTTTGCCGTTCCCATTTATGATCTACAAGGCTGTGCATCACTGTTGCACATTCTACCTTAGTTTATTCTTCTGGGCGTCCCTGGTCAGCTCAGAAGTCAGGAGGCTGGAAGGGGGGAAGAGGCTAACAGTACGTGGCGCCCTAACCCCTCTGGCCACAAAGCCCAGAACGTGTCCCGAAGTCAACACCCCCGCACAGCAGTTTGCTAAGAACAAGGCTAGTTCTGCCAGATGCTGACAGGTGAGCTGCAAAAAGGGGTTCCATGGCCGAGTATGTTTGGGAAAGGCTGGCTTAAGTCAAATTAAGCCCGTGATTTATTGCAGGACTTTTCAAAGTTTCGATAGACTGATGTCCACTGAGAATCTCCAAGGGTGGATGGAAGGTGTAGTCCTTCCTGAACACAGACGATCACGAAATCTTTTCTCCAGGCAGCTGGCAGAGACCAGGGTTCCACAAAGCACACTTTAGGAAATGTTGGGAAATGTGAGCAGGGGGAATTGGGGGTGATGAGGCAAAGAGAGGGGGATAGAGTCACCCTGGGCTCGTTTTTTCCTCTTGTCTAGCTGAGGCAGGAACTCGGCGGCTTGAGAAATTTCTCCCGCTGAATGCAGAGGTGCCCATCAGAGCTCTGCAGAGCCCCAGCTGCCGGCAGCTGCTTTCTCACCTAGGCTAAGCTTTGGTAGAGTTTAACCTCGGGTTTTCAGGTGGGACTAGACGAGCTGGAGGTACAGTCTAAAAAGGCCCTGGTTTGACAGAGAAGGGCAAGGGTCGCTCGCTGTTGTGAAAGCTGGGCACCCGGAAGCCGGCAGTGCAGTCCTTGGAGGCCCCCCAGGCATCAGAAGGCGATGACAAGGCTGCCACTGCCTCGGGAACAGCCATGAGGATGGCAGTCTCAGTCCACAGTCCCTTTTCCGCAGTCCTGAAATCCAGAACGCTCTGAAAGCCTCAAGTGCTTTTTTTAAGTTCGTGGGAAAGTGAATTGATAGCAAAACCTGTCCTGAGCTGACGTGAGCTATTTATGGGCTATATTTATCCCACCTAGTGTGACTATTCGTATATTTCACTGCAGAAATATTAATGTGTTTAATTACAGGGTGCTGCCCCAGTCCCTGATGGGGGTGTTATGTAATAAACGGTGTATGCACTGTGTTACCTTTCTGACACGTGAAAGGAAAAAAAGATCTCAATCTCTAGACACATCTGGTCCCCGGGGATTGCGACGAGGGCCCGGGAGCCCGGGGTGGTGCAGAGCGGCCAAAGGACAGTCCCCGCGTGCCGACCCGGGGCCCCAGAGTTTTCCCCTGCGGTTCCCACAGCGATGCTGGGAGGAAGGAGGCACAACCGTTACCCCCAACTCTCAGATGAGGAAACCGAGGCTGCGGAGAGGATAAGGAACCGGCCAAGGCCCCGAGCAAACAGGAGTCAGAGCTGGACACAGGCTCAGGCCCTCTGAGTCGGCACCTGCGCTTCTGTCCAGATCAGGCTCCTCAGTGGCCCCTGTGGGCCGCCCTCCCAAGCCAAGCAGCTCTGTGCAGACCCCAGCTGTGGCTCCTCAGCCCAAGCCCCACCCCATAGACGCCGGCAGGACCCCTGGATCTGCCTTCCGCTCTGCTGGAAAAGGGCCTTCCCCTCCTCCTCTGCGCCACTGGGAGGGTCAGGCAGAGTGGCACAGCTCTGCCTCCGTGCCAGCTCCCTGGAGTCTGGCGAGCATCCCGAAGGCCAGCTCCAGGCCCCACAGACGATGTGCCAGCCCCTGTGGGTCCCCGGGGTCTTAGGAGGTGCCTGTGTGAGGCCACTCAGAGAGCACACCCTTTGTCCTCTCCCAGGTAGAGCCACCCGAGGAGCCTCATGTGCACAGCCCTCACCCACACACACTCATCCACTCACTCTCACGCTCATTCTTACGCTCGACCTCACACTTACGCTCATTTCTACTCACATTCTCACCCACCCACCCACTCCTGTGCATTCCTACACACTGACTTTCACACACTCATCCTCACACTCACTCTTACACTCAATCTCCCTACACTCGCCCTCACCGCACCCCTGCAGCGCAGCGCTGAGGTCCCGGAAGCACCTCAGAGGGTCCCCCTGTCTCTGAACGGGAAAAATCGACCTCCAGGCCCTTTGGGGGATGGGCGGCGCCGTGCTAAATCTTTCAGGTGCGTCATCTCATTTACCCCTTGAATTAAGCTGGAATGCAGTTGTTATTGTCGTCCCCATTTCCAGATAAGGACACTGAGGCTCAGACTTGCCCAAAGTCAACAACTAGAGCCTAGAAGTAGAATCTCGGTAGAACCGAGCCTGAGACTCAGTCCCGTTTACTCTAAACCCCGAGTTCCTGACCACCGCGTCACCTGCTCCCCTCAGGCTGCGCCCATTGCCTCTCCACAAACCCTCACCCCATCGGAGTGCCGACCCCACTGCCATCCAGTTTTCCTGGAGTGTTGGTGACACACCTGTCAGAGCTCAACTTCCAGCCCCTTCCTCGATTTGGACTTAGAGACCCACCCGCCAGCCCGGACCATTTCTTCTGAGACCCAAATCAGGTCCTGTGGTTCAGCAGAGAATGTAGGCGGCAGCTCCTGGAGAAAGAGACGTCCTTGGTTGAGTTTGGGCGTGAAATACTGGCAATCCCAGGGTTGTGCTCGTGGTGCGGCAGGAGCGCAGTGCAGACCGCGAGATCCCGGGTCAGCTCCAGGCCCCAAGACCCCGTGTTGAGGGTCAGCTCAGCACCCAGGAGTGGGCACACGGCCTCCCAAGTTCCTGAGGGCTGGGCCGGCCATTTTCATAAGCCTCAGAGTCTCTTCTCTCAACTGAGAATCCCTGCGTGTCCCCAGGAGAGGGGTCGCAGCTGCCTAAGCGCTCACCGTGCCGCAGGCGACCCGTTCACCTGTGGCCCCAACCCCTGCGGTAGGTGCCACACCGGCCACCAGCCCTCCCTTCCCTCCTCTCTCCAGGGGTGGCCACGTACACGGACAAGTTGTTCAAGTTCCGCAATAACCGCTGGGAAGACATCCTGAGTGACGAGGTCAACGTGGCCCGCGGCGTGGCCAGCCTCTTTGCCGGGCGCTCTGTGGCCTGCGTGGACAGGAGGGTGAGTCCAGGGGTACATGGGGGCCTGGGGAGAAGGGGGGCACACAGCGATGTGTCGGCCAGGAGGGAAGCCCCAGGCAGACGTCCCCGGACAGAGCATGGCTCCCGAGGGCAGAGCCCAAGACCGCTCCCACAGGGCCTTACACATAGTAGGTGCTAACATACTTTCACACCCTTTCTCCCCCTGAGGCCTTTCCAGCAACCAGGGGCTGTCATCATTGTGTCCACTGGACAGAGGAGGGCACTGAGCCCCAGCTTGGAGCAGGGACCTGTCTGAGGACCCAAAACAGATTGGTGGTGTGGCTCAGACATGAATCAGAATCTCTCAGCTCTGAACCTTGTGTTCATTCATTCATTTATTCAACTCTTATTTATGAAGTGCCTACTATGTGCCAGGCATTGCACCATCAGTATTTATGGAACAAATGAAGTCACAAGCAAAGTGGCTCGTGGGTGGGTGAGTGGAGGGTTGCCTGAATTACAAGTACTTTAGTTAACCCATAGCTCCATCAATCCTTTCCCGCCCGGCTAGTCCACCCGGCACACAGGTGCTCAACTCGGAGTGCGGGGGAGAAAGGCCAAGTGGTGAGGGCAGGAGCAGCTGCAGCCATCTGCCCTGTGGGGCGCCCACCCCCCACACCCGGGCGTGCGTCCCGGCCAACCCAGCCAGAGCCAGAGCGTGGAGTGGAGGTGATTTATCCCTCCTGTCACCTGCTTCCCTGCCGCCCCCTCCCTGGCTTTACGAAACAGTCCTCACTAAATCAGGGACCCAGCTGCTGCCCAGCTTCCATGGGAGCATCTCTGGCCCCCATTCTGGGGACAGGCACAAGGGGGCCAGCTCATTTCGGGACTGAGATGGGGACTGATATGGCACCGAGGGGACTGGGCATTCAGCCTGATCTTCACAGCGGGGGCCCCCGAGGCCTTGGGAGAAGGCAGGTGCCAGGTATAAATACTTATTTCTTATCAAGCTGGTGCCGGGAAGAGCACCAGGCCGGGCTGTGAAGCCACACTTGGCCCTGACCTGACCCGCCTGGTGGGAGGAAACCGAGAGGCGGCTCAGCGAGCGGCCCCGGGGACTGGGGGTTCTGGGGGGCGCCAGGCCTGGCCGCGCTACTGCCAGGCCTCTTCCCGTGTCTCCTCCTGGCTTCCTGTCTCACCCCTTCAGGACCAGGACTGCCACACTCAGCTAAGGCAGGAATCTTCTCAGCACTGGTGGGAGGGCCTGAAGGTTAATCACAAAGAGACTCGCTCTGTCCTAACAAGGTCATCTGAACACCAGCACACTTAACCACAGGAGGGAGGCGCCATGTGAAGTGCAAAAAGAGAAAGGAAAAAAGAGACACTTTGGCACGAAGCACAGGGGGCGGGCACCTAGTGGCTTGCTCACTCCCTACTCAGGCCCAGCCTCAGGGAACTAGAAAACGCCCACACAGCTGGTCTGCCGCCAGGAGAGGGGCTACTTTCTGCATCCAGCCACCACCTTGGCAACCCCTGAGGCCTGAGAACTGTGGAGAGGTCAATGCCAGTGTGGAAGTTGAGAGACAGGGATGCAGTGTGGTATGGGAAAATACAAGAGCAATCATAACGTTAAGAATATAATATTAACATAACGAAAACAATAATAATATTATAATAGCTAACGCTTGTTAAACTGGCCACGTGCCAAGCTCTGTGCTAAGTGGTTTCCACGTACCATCTCATTGAATCCTCAGAGTAAAGCCTATGAGGTACATGTTATCATTATCCCCATTTTACAGGTGGGGAAACTAAGGCTTCTAGCAGTAAGCCACTTGACCTTGGTCACAACAGTAAGCGGCAGGCAAAGGCAGGAATTGAGCCCTGCCTGGCTGAAAATAATCAGATACCTTTCACCTCCCTGCTGCCCTGCCTCCGGGTAAGCCCGTATCAGATACGCACTTCTAACCCCACGTTCTATTACAACGTTTGACCTACTCCTTCCTCAGCCCCACAACCCCTACCCCCGTTAGCATACCTGCTCCAGACTAGCGTCAGCAGCATTGCTAGAAGTGCGAATTCTCAGGTCCCACCCCACTCCACCCTCCAGACCTACCAGTCAGAGCCCCTGGGGGTGGGACCCCGCAGCCTCGGTTTCAGCTGGGCCCAAAGGTGACTCTGAATTATGCTAGAGCTTGACAGCTTCGCACCAGGTAATAGCCTCAACCCCTACGGTGTGCCGTTCTCTCCCGCTCCCCTCGCAGCCCTCATCCGTTCTCTGTCCCAAACCTGGAACACCTCTGCCCTTCATCTTCAGGTGCCTCATCACTCATCCACCTTTCTGAATCCAGCTCAAAGCCGATCTCTTACAAGAAGCGTTCCCTGATCGATAATGATTATGCCTCATGTTTATATAGCATTTTTATCTTTTCAAAGACCTTTCACATGCGTTGTCTCATTTCATCTTCTCAGCAGCCCTGCCAGGAAGCAGGGGGGTTATGATTCCCACTTAACACGTGAGGAGGTACGGCCAAAGTGGGCGAGGGACCTGCCCAAGGGCACAGAGCCAGTTAGGGGCAGAGCTGTGACTAGGATCCAGACTGACAGCCCCAGACCAGTGGTTCTCAAAGTGTGGTTCCTGAAAGAGCAGCACCAGCTTCACCTGGGAACTTGTTAGAAATGCAGATTCTTGGGGCTTCCTGAATCAGAAACTCTGGGGATAGGACCCAGCATGCATGTTTTCATAAGCCCCCCAGGTGATTCTGAGGTTGGCTACAGGGTGAGACCCACTGCCCTTGACCCAAAGCTGCAGAAACACCTTCCTTCCCCTGGAACTAGCTCCCCCTCCCAGAATTACTGTGGTCAGGTTCACATGTGAATTTCTTCAGTCTTCTATAACTGTAACACATCTATGTTTTTCTGTCAACCCAATACACTGAAGTAAGGAACTAGGTATAAATGAATTTTATAAATATCCTAATTTCTAGCAGAGTGCATTTCAGTTCATCTGGGCTTAATTGCCCATTTGTCGATGAGATTGCTAACAGCTGGTAGGGTCAGGAAGCGTCACAGTGGTGGTGCACTTTCCCCTTTGGCCCCATTCATTCTCTCTTCATCCAGCCATTCCACACACATATACCAAGCTCCTGTGATGGGCAAGAACCTTTCAAAGTTCTCCCCTAATCACAAAACCATGTTGTAACGCAGTGCAACTCAAAGTTCATTTTTGTGTAGGGATCACTGGGGATCTTGTGGCAATGCAGGTTCTGATTCAGCAGGTCTGGGCTGGGGCCTGAGAGTCTGTATTTCTAACACGCTCCCAGGTGACACGGATGCTGCTGGTCCAGGGACCACTTTGAGTAATAAGACTTGTAAAGCATCGATTCCCAGGTAGCAGGCTAGAGACTCAGGGAACCAAAAATGAAGGGGCCGAGAAGTCTTTACAGAACAGGTTGGCCACCTTCTCCAGCGTCCTCCCCTCGACAGGCCCCGCCTTGCTTTGTACATTCCGACAGCATTGAACAAACTGTCTGTGGCTTCCCGACATTCATCGCTCTCTGTCTCATCTCTGCCTGGAAGGTTCTTTCCCCTCCACTTCACCTGGCCAAGACTTCTCTTAGAAAGCCTTTCCTGAACTCCCCATGGCTAGGTGCCCTTCCTCTGGGTTAAGAGCCCCTCTTCTGTGCACCCAGGAAACCCTGTACACACTCAATCAGACATATAATTGTTGATGCATCTGCTTCCGCCAGGAGACCCTGAACTCCTTCCTTGGCTTCACCCACCTGTTAAACCCAAGTGGCTCCCAATCAGTTTCCCCAAAGAAAATGGTCCCAAAGAAGGGATAAAGTGACCAGTTAGGTGAGAGGGGCTCTCATGGGACCATTGGACGGGAAATAGAAGAAAGCAAAGAGGGCTGAAAAGAGGTGGTGACAGAGCACACTTTGCTCTCTTAAATTCAGCTGTTTTTCCTGGGTTGTTTTGTGTTTATAGCTTCCTTCGTTGTTTTTTTTTTATTTTTTATTTAAGTATAGTCGATTTACAATGTTGTGCTAGTTTCAGGTGTACAGCAAAGTGATTCAATTATACATACATATATATCTATGTTTTTTAGATTCTTTTCTCTTATAGGTTATTACAAAATACTGAGTATAGTTCCCTGTGCTATACAGCAGGTCCTTGTCAGCTTCCTTTAAACTAGACTATAAGCAACCTAAGGACAGAGACTTGGTCTTAAGTACATTTATACCCCAGCACCTTGCACATCATTAGAGCTCAAGAAATATGTACTGTCTGATTAATTGGAGGGAAATGCTGCAAGGGATAAGAGGAAAGCTAGAAAACTGATTGAGAAATTGTGTGGATCTCTTGGGAGAAAGAAGGTATCCATTGAAGAAATAACACCATTATAATAACAGGCAGGAAAGAATCTTTCATCAGCTGTGTCTTGGACTAGAGAAGAGAATGCCTACAGCAAGGAGGAGCTGGTGCCCAGGGCTTCTCCTGGATGCAAAGGGGAAAATATACATACATATTTGAGACAATGTTATAAAGGCAGGAGCAATATACTATTTCTTTCTGGTAACGTGGGAAAAACAAGGGGGTGGAAGTGGGAAGGAGGAGCCTGGCGTAGCTGAGCCTATCGAGCTACCCAAGTGGAGGAGTGAAGAAGTACAGGGTGGAGGTGGGGCAGGGAGATGGCTCACGAATTTGCTTGTCATCTTGGCTGGAGCGAGCTAGAATGGGAGAGCGAGACTGAGAATAATGGGAATTGGTAGATCAATCAATCAGCAAATATTTATTGAGCAGCTACCCCGGCTGGCAGCTGGAGAGAGGGCAGGTGGAGAGAGCTCATCTGGAGGAGAAGGCACATTAGAAAACTGTCTATAAAAAGGTGGTTGTGGAGGAGAGGGAGGGATGTTCTTCTGGAACAGGATGGAAGGAAAAGTGGGGCCGCTTTGCTGTAGGACTCTGGGGGTGTCATGCGCTTCGTAGCCTCTATGAAAAGCACCTCTGGAGTTGTGTCGTGCAAGGTCACGCACGCCAGACCCCGGGAGCAGAGGCCGAACCTGTGAAAAGCTATGGTCCTGCGAGAGGAGCGGGGGAGCTGCTCTCTGGGCTCCCCGCCCCCCTCACCCCGCGCCGTGGTCCTGCTCAACTACCCTCCTTCCCTTCCTCCTCAGGGCTCTGGACGCTACTCCATCTACATCGCCAATTACGCCTACGGTAATGTGGGCCCTGACGCCCTCATTGAAATGGATCCGGAGGCCAGTGACCTCTCCCGGGGCATTCTGGCGCTCAGAGACGTCGCTGCTGAGGCTGGGGTCAGCAAATACACAGGTAGGCGGAGTGACACGGGGAGGTTGTGAGCTGGAGGGGCTGGGGGCTGGAACCCTGCAAGGCTGAGTCTAATACATCAGAGACCGCCGGAGAGGGTGGGTTTGTGTCTCTGGGGAGGGAGGATGAAGGCTTTATTCCATCCCACCACCCATAGATGGCTTCTTCCCACGCGACCTCTCCAGATGATGAGACATCTGGCAGGGGTGGGCTTTTGGGGGGGGCCCAGTGGGTGACGTCAGACAGCCAAGAACATCACCACATCATCCTCTCCTTGGAACCTCTTGCCCCATTCCCTGCTGTAACCCAAATGATGGGTGAACAGGTTCTGTAGGAGAAAACTGACAAATCACAGAGGCCAAGATTTAAAGCATTCTTTATTGCCAAACAGCAGATGAAATTATTTACCTACACATAAGCGGCCAGGAATTGAGTGCTAAATCCCTAACCTTCAGCTGGGTCCCGTCTCAGATAACTGAGCTCAAAGAATTGTGTTCTTGTTCCAAAACCTCTCCAGCACTTTTTTTGAAGTCACGCTCCCTGCACATCTTTCTGGATGGGAGACCTATTGTCAGAGTCTCTGACAGGGAGATTGTTCTAGGGAAGGCTCTTTTTCTAATTCCAGCACGGCTGCTGACTAAACTCTGATAATCTGCCAATAGACTGCTGATGGCAGAGCAATCCAGTTCCTGTTTGGGGTGCCAAAAATCAGGAAGCCAGAGGTGTACACAGCTTCTCACGTGAACTCTGGCCTCACTCACACCCAACCTGCACTTTGGGTGTAGAAATTCCCTCAGTGGTTGACCTTCCCGATATATCCATCCCAATTTGCACTGCAGAATTCCAAGTGGCAGCTGGCCTGGATCCAAATTTGGGGGCTGGAAGGATCCTTGAAGGGTCATTTGGGCCATTCCCCCTGCCTCCAGACACCTGGGCGGTGGCATCATCTCAGAGTCCTACCCAGAAAGGGTTGTCACAGCCTCTCCCGAGTTTACCATGCCTTTCTCCAGCCAGCTCTCCGCCTCAGTGAGAGGGAAAGATTGATGTTGACCTGTCTGACAAAGTTTGTGGGAACAAACGGCTAGACAATAAAACAGTTTGCACAGCTCAGCTCCATCAGAATGCGCGAGAGCTCTGCCTGGGAACGTGCAGCAGAGAGGCTGAATGTCAGTAATAAACCATGTTTTCCTGGGAAAAGGAATAAACATGCAGGAGCTTCAGCCTCAACTTGTGCAGACAATTTTTCTGAACAGTTCTCAGTTCTATGCACTGGGCTGGTTTGGCAATTAAGTGCCTTGATCTGCAGGAGAAGGAGGGTAGACTGGGGAGATGAAGCCCTTGAAAATGATGAGCTGGAAGGGAGGCAAGGTCTGGGAGCGAGGGTTATACACAGAATCAAAGAATTCAGAAGGCTGGGTGTGAGCATATAGGGGACACTGTTCACGCTGGTGGGGCTGGCAGAAGGGCTGGCAGGAACCAGGGACGGGGAAGGAGGGGACCAAGAGGAGACCGCTGAGGAGCACAGGGTGGGGATAGGGGTACCGGCCAACTGTGCCAGGCTGTGCTGGAAGGACGGGGCAGCTCAAGGAAGGGACAGCAGCTTTCGTGGAGCATGCAGGCAGGCCGGGGCAGCTGGCATGCCCAGAGGACATGTTAGAGCAGCTTTGCAGACTTCCAAAAGCCATTTGGCTGACAAGAACCTATTTGGCCCACCAAGTTACTATTCTGTCTGCCCGCCTTCCCAGCCCACCCTTTCCCTGCCCTCCAAGCCCCGCAACGCTACCGTGCAGCCCCCGTCGTCACTCTGTTCACAACACATGGACATCTGGCTGGAAAACTAGCCCAGAGCAACCTCCTGAGCCCCAGGAATGGACCCCAATGTAAGGGCCTGATTGCCGAGGCTCTGCCACGTGGCCAGTGCTCAGCTCCAGGCTGGTGCCCTGGGGCCTGGGGAGTGGGGAGAGACGCAGGCAGTGAGGGAAGCAAGCCATGGCCAGATGTGCAGTCAGGTCCCCGGAGCCAAGGCACACAACACCCATCTGCCAGACAGACCCTGGAGAACCTCCTGTTTGCAAAAGAACAAATCCAGGTCCAGAGAGGAGAAGAGACTTGCCCAAGGTCACACAGGAGGTTTGCAGAGAAACTAGCACTTAGAGCCCCGGCCCCTGATGCCTAAGCTGCCACAACCAGCTGACCTTTCTGATGACCTCCAGCTTGAGAATCCTGCTCCAGCCTGCAAGACAGAAGGGGTTGGTGAAAGAGGAAGGGGCCCGACCACCGAAAACTCAGCCCCCGGGACTGGCCCTCTGGACTTTAATTGCGGCTCCCGGTTTTTTGTTTTTGCTTTTGTTTTTTTGCCTGAAACAGCTGCCTGGCCTGGGCTGCTCAGGGTAGCAGTGGGTTGGCCCGGGCATACCGGTCTGCAGGCCGGGCAATGGCGAAGCCCGCACCGGGCTGTCCGTCTCCGCGGGAGGAGGAGGGGAGGCATGTCGTCCGGACTCGGGATTCTGCCTGGGGCCGCCGCTCTACTGGGTCTACAGTGCCATCTAGCGGCCAGCGCGCCCGCTCTCGGGGGACTCGAGGGCCCCTGGAGGGCGGCGCAGCCAGAGCTGCTGCTGGTGCAGAGTTGAGCAGAGGGAAGGCCACTCCCCCATGGTTCCTGGTTCTCCAAGACCCCCGCTGCCTGCAGCCTCTTGGAGCCTGAACTGCCCTGCATGGGAATCCTGAGAACTAGTTCTCCCCATGAGAGAGCCAGGCAGGAACTCAAGGTGGGGGAAGGTGGGAACCAAAAAGTTTGCACTGCCTCTCTGGCCCCGAATGATCTCAGGAACGTCCCATAGCCTCTCTGAGGACCTTGAACTAGCCGTCAAGCAGAGCTGCTAAGTGGACAGGGTCTGGAGCCAGAGTACTGGGTGCAGATCCTGCCTCCACCATGTCCTCCTTCCCAGGCAGCAGTGGGCAACTTATTAACCTCTCTGGGCCTCAGTTTTCTCACCTGAAAAATGGGGGGTATTAAAGGAGATAAACATAGAGCATGCCTGGCACAGGGCCTAGCACACGGGCGGTACCCACCGAGTGTAGCAGACATCAACACCCTCCTCTGAGGTTCTGAAGGAAGGATGCCAGGACCCTCTGCTGGGCATCTCCTGGGTGTAGGGAGCCCAGGGGGAAGCACAAAGCAAGCAGGGCTAACCCCTGCCCTGGAGGTATTCTGATGTGTCTCCTGGCATGTCCTCCAGTCCTGGTCACAGGCGTGGGCATCTTCAGCCCTGTTCCCACTGGAATCCATCTCTCTTCCCTTCTTCACTCTGGACCCTGTCTCGCCCTGGCCTCTACTCCCTCCCCAGGAGCTCTGCAATTTGGCCTCACCCTTTTAGGGAGCATCTGTCCAGGCTGCAAGGTGGTGATTAAAGAAGACTTAGAAGAAATTTGGAAAGAAAATGAAGGTGGATTTATGATATTGGGCGGGCAGTTTTGCTGTTGGCTGGGAGCAGCATAGAACAAAACAGAGGGCAGATCTGATTTACAGGAAGTAAATGGAGGAGACAGAGATGCCTACAGCCCAGCTGAGGCCTTCTGGAGGACCCCTACCAGCCGCTCCAGAGAGGTGACCCGGGGCGGCAGAGTGGGGGCCTCAGAGTCTCCCGGGTTCCCAGGCAGTGCTGGCCTTTCAGTGGGCATGCAGCCAGACCTGTCAGCTGGGGACAGGCAGGGCTAGAGTGACAGGCTCCTCAGCCAGGGCCCGGGACCCCCAGGGAGTAGAGCCACAGGCCCGCCAAAGCCCCAGGAAACACGGAGTGTCAGAAGCATAAGATGACTGACAGGGAGGGACATCATTTTTTATTCAAAGCAAACACAGATGTTATAGAATACAAATGCAATCTTGGTACACATTTTCTTCAGCTAAAACAAGAGAGTTGGGTTTTTTTTAATGTCAAGCCTATGGCTGGCCATTCTGGGCCTTACCAGGAGTACAGATCCCACTTCTGCTGAGAGGGAACTTGAGTAGAAATGTTTGAGAGCATGCTGTGGGGAGAGAGTGGCTCTGGGGTCACTCAGACGTGGGTTTCAACTGTGATCCATTGCCTGCTGGCTGCAGTTATGCCTCCCTGAGCCTCGGTTTCCTCACCTAGAAAATGATGAGGTGAGGTGAATCGTGCATGATACCTAGTACACAGGACTGAACTGGAGCTATTCCTGCCCCTCCTTTTCCTGCCCTCCCTCGTGAAACAGCTACTTCCAGCCCCCTCCCTGCCTCGGGGGGTGGGCACACAGAGAGGAACGACTTCCCTCCTGTACCCACCAGGTGCCCAAGGTTTGAAAATCCCCACCAGTGGACAAATGATGGAGCCTGTCCTCCTGCCACCCCATCTCCCTCAATGTCCTGCAGGGACAGGCCAGAGGGATTAGGGGTGAGTGGGAATGTCCTTGTCTAATACCCTCCACACCAGTACACTCGGAACCCTGCCCAGCATCTGGACCACTCTCAGAGGACCCGGGGGTAGCAACACCAGCCCTAACACAGTATGATCCTGTGTTAGAATTTCAGGAAGTTTAGGCTGTTATCATCCTGCCCTTCTCACACCTCCTTCTCCAACACACACACACACACACACACACACACACACACACTGTCCATTCCTCCACCCCTGCATGTTCCAGTACTTTGCTATTCTTTTACAATATCTTGGATGTTCTCGGCAACCTGCAGGCCTTAGCATCCACTAGAATCATTAATCAGCAGAATAGTCCCACAGGTCCAGGTTCCTTGTCTGACAGCCTCGCCGCGGAGCCCCCATGGTGCAGACTGTAGAGGGGCCCAGGAGGATGCACTGAAAAGTAGAGCTGGAAGGAGTCTTGCAGACCTTCTCATTCCCGCCTCCACTTCACAGAGGGAGACCAAGGCCTGGAGGGCACACTTCCCAAGTTCCTGCCTCCAGAGAAGGTGCAGAGGCCGGGCAGCCCCTGGAGGCTTTTCCTTAGCACTGCGAATCCCCTGCCTCTTCATCCCAGGCCCTCTGCTGTACAGTTGCCGCAGCATGCAAGCGCCCCGCTCCCTGCAGCCTCTCTTTCCCTTCCCCACCTCCAAGCCCGAGGGCTGCCCTGATGCAGTCTAAGAGAGGAATTGGCTGCACCCAGATTGGACTTGTGTCTACATCTCCCAAGTGTAGGGGTGCAGTTCTTAAGGGTAAGCGGGGCTGCCCCGTGGGCTCACGCCCACTGAGCGGATCAGAGGGGGTGTCAGAATGTGGCAGGAGGAAGAGGGGGCCGTAGGGAAGCATTTTCCCTTGTCACAACCTCTTCCACCCCGCCTGGTGGACAGAGTGAGAAGCCTTCAGGAAGGGATGGGCAGGGAGCAGCATTCACACCCAACAGCAGAACAAGGAGGCCTTTGAAGCTTGAAAATGCTGGAAAAATAAAGGGACATTATTCACCCAACAGGTGGGAAATAGTCCCACTAATGACTCTGTGGCACCTGACGTTTTCCAAGGTAACTTCCAAAAACCAGCTCACTTAATATTTATGACAACCTGGGAAGGGGATATTATTATTATCAGTCTCGTGTTATAGGTGAGAAAACAGATGGCCGGAAAGGTTCAGTGACATGCCCAAGGTCACACAGCTCGAATTTCCTGATCCCCAGTCTTTCCTACCAACCGGTGTGCCTCTCCAGCTTCAACTGGGGAACTGCTTGCCCCCAAGAGGATGTTCTTGCCTCAAGTATAAAAGAATTAATTGATGTGAAGTGGAGTTCAACTCCCTATTGGAACATCATTTTCCAGGGCTAAATAAAGATGTTCCTAACTGCCCCTGGTAGCCCCATAAGGTGTGTGCTAAACCTTAGGAGGCCAGGAGACAGGGTGGATGTAACAGAGAAGATAGGGAGACTTAGGGGGAAGAGCTAGGGGAGGAGGGGAAGGTCCAGGTAGAAGATACTTGCGGAATAAGGGGCCTCTGTCATTGACCGGGCAGGGAGTGGGAGAGTCAGGCTACACTTAAGATGGATGGATTTTATTAGTTTGAAGAGAGCTAACATGATGGACCTGGAAGTAGAGTTTCCCCTGCGGCCTCAGCGAGGGGTGCAGGCACCTGGCTGTCCCTGCCTCAGACCCCCATTTGGCTCTCCATCCTGAGGCTGCTGGGGCTCGTGCCCAAGAGGCTGGCTCCCCGGCTGCCGACTCACCTGCTCCCCAACTGTGCAGCAAACTTGCCAAGAAAGAGGTGTGGGTAACATCTCTGTTATGGTCCAGTTGCCATGGCAATAAATTGTCACTAATTAGTAGTGTGGTTACCATGGCAATTTTCTAGTAATTACAGGTTACAAATGGTGCAAGGCTTCAACCCAAGCCAATTAGTTAATTAGAAAGATTTAGAAATTTGTCCAAGAGGGAAATAACCTGCCTTGTAGAAAATGAAGGGAACGTGTCACAGCTTGGGAGCCAGAGGCAGAGAGGAAATTGGAGGATGCTGGAGCGGTGGAAGAAGGATGGAGTTGCATGGCAGCAAGTCCCGGAGCCCCACCTGGAATTGCTGGGGACCCAGACAAGACCGAGGGTTTCTCACCAAAGCCTGATCCTGGGCTGGAGTTTGGCAGAACCAGGGCAGGGACAGCTGCCAGCAGCCACTCAGCAGCACTCTTTGAATGGGCAGAAGAGGTGCCCAGGTTGTAGCCCAGCACCCTCCCTGCTGGCTTAGGAAAAGAAAGGTGTCTGAAAGCCTCCCGCCCTGCCCCACACCTGGGCTCTCCTAATGAAGGCTCTCCCTGGAGTATTGTGGATTCAGTGGCTCCATTTTCACAAGGCTTGAGCTCTCCTTGAGAGCTAATTAGATTACCTGGGAGAAATCCGGGGGCACAGGGCCCAGGATGTGTTAACGAGGAGCCCCACCAGGAGAACAATGACTGCGGCAATGCCATTTGCCCCACTCTGGCCCCAAAGCCGGCCCCTGGTGGGCAAGCTCCACCTGCACAGGTGAGAAAGGCCCCATGATTTCCTCCAGGGACAAATCTCAGAGGATGGGAGGAGCCTGGGGACCAAAAGAACCTTCATCCCAAATTAGCACAGTGGAAACCTCTGCCCTGTCCAGAAGCGGGCTGGTGAGGGCACCTGGCTTAGATCACTCAGGTCTGCCTGAGTGCTCATTAACTTTTTTAAAAAATCACATTCTGTTGCTCTAATAACTGCTCTCGTTGTACTGAACAGCCCTTCAGAGCAGCACTTTCCAAACTTTACTGCGCACATAAACCGCCCCAGGGGTCCTGTTTGAGTGGGTGGGGACCTGAGATTCTGCATTTCTAAGAAGCGCACAGGTGATACACCTTAGTAGCAAGGTTGTAGGATTCACAAAGACCTTTACCATCATTTGATCCTCTTATTTTTCTCACCTCATCTGATCCTCTCAAAAACCCTGAAATAGAAAAGGCAGGTCACACCATCTGCATTTTTCAGATGAGAAAAACCAAGGCTAAACGGGGAACGTGAATTGCCCAAGGTCACACAACCTGTGAAAACGCCAAGGTGGGACTAGAATGCATGTCCTGCTTCCGGTCAGGCTGTTTTCTGCACCATACCCGGGGTAGCAGTGAGGCTGAGGGGAGGCTTTCAGGGCTCTATTTGAAACTCACTGGTTGGGGGTGGTTTGTTCAAGACACCTTAAGATTAGACTTGGTGACATGTCCACATTGATCTTGGGCATTTCAAACCCTAACGTAGAGCTGGCTTGCTTGCTTTCTTTCTTAAAAAACATATACACCTTATTGGATTTTTTCCTTTCAAACTACAGAAGCACTTCTTGTTACAATAAGCCAAACGATACAGACGTTCCCAAAAAAGGCCAACATACTGTCTCTCCTTCCCTCCCTAAATCCTACCCCATCAGGGCAGCCAATGCGAACAGCTCGGAGTGTGGCCTTCCCCACTCTTCCCCAAACTCAAAAACAAGTTTGCACAAACACGTATATTCAGAAGTATCATTTGCTTTCCTTTTTCTGAAAAATAAAAATAAGATCACACAATACCATTACCTGGCGAATTGCTTTTTCATTTAACAATATGTCATGGGCGTTCCTCCAAGTCAATACACGTGGATCTACACAGTCTCTTTAGTAGCTGCAGAATAGTCCGTCATGTGGATGCACCGTAATCCATTCTGCATCGCTGTTGATGCACAGGCAGGTGCTCGCATTTGTCTCCTACATCAAGCAAAACAAAGTAAGCATCCCTGTACCTGTGGCTGGAACCTGTTTCTATAGGTCCTTAGAACAGGAACACACCCAGTATCTTGACCAGCATATGTGTGATCAGGGTAAGGCTGGGGGCTGTCAGGGAATCTGTGACTTGATCAAAATGTCGCAGGTAGAGATGGGTTTCGCATTAGTGCAATTCAGCTACCGAAGGGAAGAGAAGGCTGTGTGGTGGCCTCTGTGTTCCTCAGCTCACGGAATCACTCCTTCGGCACAAAGTAACTCCATCTTGCTCCTCACTTGCCTCATCATCAGTGCAGTCACCCTCCACGTTGGCTTATGGAACCGTGAGCCCACATCTGGGCTCCAGGGAGCACCTGGAATGTCAGAATCCGCCCCTCCCCGCCCCCGACCCCTGCCTCTTCCGAGGCATCACCATAGCAGCGCGTCGTGGGCCTCCGAGGCGGCCCCCATCCTCCACGCGGGCCTGAGGCTTTGCTTCTGCCGCTCAGTGAGAGTCGCTGTGCCCTCCCAGGCGGCCGGGGCGTAAGCGTGGGCCCCATCCTCAGCAGCAGTGCCTCAGATATCTTCTGCGACAACGAGAACGGGCCCAACTTCCTCTTCCACAACCGGGGGGACGGCACTTTCGTGGATGCTGCGGCCAGTGCTGGTGAGTAAAACAGCCTCTGTCCTGTGACCCCCACCACCCTACAGGGGACTCTGGTCTGCCCTGCTCCCTCCAGGTCCCACAGGCCCCAGGGAGAGCGGGACAAGTCGTTGTCTGCACCGCACAGGGAAATGTTGCTTGTCACCTTTAATTCCACATCCCCCATGGTTCAGGACGCAGGGGATGTTTGTGGCTGGGGAGACAGCGTCTGGAACGCCTGACCGTTATCCATTCTCCAGCGACTGGGATTGGCCCGTGTCCCTCTGAGTCCTGCCTGTGTCTCTCAGCACTGGTTTCCACCCTAAGCTGCCTCTCTCCATTTCTTCTCCCCGCATCCATCTTAAACATGCAACTCAATCCAACAGCCGTTTATTGAACCCGTGCTAAGTGCCAGGCTGGTGCTCAGAGCTGGGGACGCTGACCTGAATAAGGCTAAGATCACCCTACCCCACTCCCCCCACCCGCCCATACAAGGCACTGACATTTTAGAGGAGGAAACAGACAAATGAACGAATAGCTATAATATGAAGCAGAATAAAATCGACACAAAAATAGTACTCCAGGCTCCCAGCTCTGCTCCCCTTCCTCCCTGTGTGTTCATCCATCATCTGCCTCAGGACCTTTGCACCTGCCACTCCTCCCCCTGAATTCTCTATCTGCAAAACTTCTATTTATCCTTCAACACTCAGCCTAGGTGTTATCTGTGAAGCCTTTCCTGCCTCCTTCTGCACCGCCTGGCAGAGATTGGCACTGCCTCCTCTGTATTCCCACTGCCTTTGCATGTGCTACTCACTCAGGCTCCTACATCACTATAATAATCTGTCTGTGTCTGCAAAGACTGGGACACATAATAAAAGTATGTGGATGTAATCAGTCTGCCCTTCAACCACTTCTCCCCACCTTGCCAAGGAATGGGAGGTTTGATTTCTCCTTCTTGGTGGCGTAGGGACGAGCTCCGGCCTCCGGAAGAAGAGGTGAGCGGGGATGTAGACACATAGATCCAAGGTCCTACAAGCGCCAGCTGGTGCTGACAGCTAGCATCCAATTCCTGAGCAGGTACTGATCCATATTCTCTGTGACTTACAAGTACCTGCCCTTCCAGCACTCTGCCCGGGAGTTCCCATTTTGAACACCCCACAAATGCATCCTTGCAGCCAGTCAGCTCCCCTGTTCTTCCCGGGCAAAGCTAAAGATGGAGGCAGCTCCCCGGGCCCGTCCTCCCATGCAGCTCACCTGTTAAACGCTCCAGCAGCAAATTCTCTCATTGCTGAAAAATCGTAAAATGAAGAGGAGGTGGTGGTGGAGAAAACCTAGAGGATTTGATAAGGTGTTAAAGAGACGGAAGCAGAGGTGAGCGAGCAAGTTGGAGTAGGAGAAGGTATCAGACGGGAGGAGAGAGGAAAGGTGCTATGCCCGTAATTGAAAGTCAGAGTGATCGCAGGGGTTTAACAAGACATGTCAAGAGGGCATTCATCACCCAAACAGATGCTGCTGTGAAGTGCAGCCTCGCACCGATTATTCTCGTGAAAGGGAACCAGCTCCTTGTCAAGGTGCCTCATAGATAGGAGAGAAATGGGCCAACACAGAAGGCCACCGACATTCGGGCTGGGGAGTTTTGCAGAGAAGTAATGGGGTATTTCATCCTAGAGGTTGGAGGCTGCCCCCACGCCTTTGCAAACCCTCTTTCTCCAGCCTGGGTCTCCCTGCCTCTTCTCCCCCACCCCCACCCATCCTCGCCTCCCCCAAGGGGGTGCCCAGCCCCCAAGGTTCTCGGGGGGCCCCACCTTGCTTTCTGCTGGCCCCTATCCTCAGGATCTCCGTATCTGCAGCTGGCAAGAGCTCGCTGTGTCCTGGGTCTGTGATCCCCATCCCCCATCATATTGTCCTATCACCTGCCATCTCTGAGGGCCTGATGACCAACGGCAGTTTGTCCTCCAGAAGACTCAGCATGGGTGTTTAGAGCCGGCCTCCACTGCCTGTCAGCTCTGCACTCGACCTGAAGGATCATGTCTGCCTTGGGCAACCAGGAGGTCAGGCCATCCCTCTGGGCAAAGCCACCCTCCATCCTCCCCCAGGATCAGCTCAGTCCCACTGACCACTGGTAGATGCAGGGACAGCACAAACAGGTGACACTGGACCCACAAGCTTTCTTCCCAGATCTCACAAGGCACACTGTGCGTTTCTCAGTCATGGTGCTGTATTTTCTCTGCTGTCACCGAAGTCCCTGGTCGCCTTCTGTCAAATTATTTATGTCTCTTCATTCATTCAGCAAGTGTTTACAGAAAAATACCCGGTCACCACAAGCACTGAGATAGACTCTGTGGGAACACAGGTGAACAAGAAGACAGACCCTCACCTCATGGAGTGTAAGGTCTAGTAGGAAAACTGGACCCCACAAAGGAACATAACTGCACGTGTGATCAGCTCAATGGAGGAGAATGGGAGGCTGTCAGGATGAATAGCAGCGTGGGTGGGAGGGGCTTATTTTCATGGGAGTGGTCAGGGAAGGCTTCCTTGAGGAGGTGACATTACAGCTGGGAGCAGAAGAAAAACAAGTAACCAAGAGCCTTGGCAAGAGCGTTCCAGAAGGAGAGACCAGCTTGAGCAAAAGCCCAGAAGCTGGAAAGAGCTTGGGTCATTTGAGAAATGAAAGGAACCCCGGGTGGCCGGTGCATATGCGGAAGGGGGAAGAGTGGTACCAGTTAAAGACCAGATAAGGTAGGCAGGGGCCTTGTGCTCCCCGGGCAGGAATTTGAACTTGACCCAAGAGTACTGGGGAAGCACTGAAATTTGAGCAAAAGAGTGATGATCAACTTAATGTATCCCAGTGTCAGCGGTGGCTGGGGAGGGCTTTAGTCCTCCAGAATCTCCACAAGTCTCCTTCCCCCAGCCCATGCTGCCCCAAAAACGAGTAAAAATAGTACTTTCTGGGCAAGTGCAGCTTGAAGGCAAGTCTCTGGTTCTCTCTGCAACCAGGTGGCTGCCCACCTTCTGCCCCTGTGGAGAGATCGGGACAGGATGAGGCTCACCCTCCCTTGCTGCTCTTCACGGGGCCCTGGCAAGGTGAGTGTTTGTGGAGCCTGCAGGGGGCGCTGCCCTGAGGGCGCCTGCCTTTCCTCCCCAGGTGTGGATGACCCCCACCAGCACGGGCGAGGTGTCGCCCTGGCCGACTTCAACCGTGATGGCAAAGTGGACATCGTCTATGGCAACTGGAATGGCCCCCACCGCCTCTATCTGCAGATGACCGCCCATGGGAAGGTGCACTTTCGGGTAAGAAGGAGCCTCTGCCTCGCTCCCCTGCTTTGTCATCTTGGGGTTGCAGCCCCGCCTGTGCCTCCCACCAGGCTGAGTAGGGGCTTGTGGCTCTGCAGAGCCTGGGGGCGGGATGGCCACAAGGAAGGTAACATCTGGGGGACGATGGGCTCCTGCCTGGGCTGCTGTGATGTCTGTAGTGCCCAGCGCACGGTCATTGGCAGAGGAGAGAGAGCAGCCTCGCAAGGTGCGCAGCGGCAGGGCAAAGGCCCAGTGAGGTGGGCTTCACTCTCTGGCTCGGGAGCATTTTTCCCATAGCCTGGGCCTGAGCTTTTCAAATTGAGGCTCAGGCCAAGGGCACAGTGGGGCTGGCGGGACAGGGGAGGTTGAGGCCACAGAGCTCCCAACAGTTGCCCCTTCTGGACAAATGACAGGTGGGGGACAAGGTAACCTTGAACCCCTCTCTGTGCCCCCTCCCTGAGCTACCGACGGTCTGTGACACCAAGAATTCTTCAGAAAGACTGTTTGGTGACAGTAAGGGATGTACGACCAGCCTAGTGAGCTTGAGTCTGGGCCTTTCTCAGGAGGGTGATGGAGAGCATGGGGTGGTGGGAGTCAGGATGCTTCTGGAGGTACCTGGTCTTGCCAGAAGCCCCCGAGGAAGCAAGAAAGTGGCGGCATTTGCCAGAAGCTTGATGGTCCCAGGGGAGCCACCAGGGCCCTTATGTCTGGGGCACTGCCACAGGCCCCTCCCCTGTAGGCAGCCACCTTGGGGTGCTCAGGGCCAGCCACTCATTCCCTGCAGAGGCTTGAGACCCAGGCCCTCTGGGTGAAAAAGAGGTACGTCCTGACCACAGAGCAGCTGCTCCTGGGATCCTGAATGATTTCCATCTTTATTCAGCTTTTTCTTCTAACCCAGGTTCTCAACCAGGGGTGATTTTGTCCCTACCCCAGGACATTTGACAGTATCTGGGGACATTCTTGGCTGTCACAAATGGGATAGAAGGTGCTACTGGCATCCAGCGTGCAGAGGACAGACATGCTGCTAAACGTCCTACAATGCACCGGCTGGAATAATCCAGCCCCAAATGTCAACTAACTCTTCTGATAGCCCAGTCCCAGAGCGCACAGGAGCAATAATAAGAATAAGAATAATAATGGAGACCCCATTTATCAAGTGCCTTCTGTGTGCCAGGAACTGTGCCAAGCATACATTGGCACAGTAAGCCATGTAAGCATACATACATTATCTTGGAAGCCCAGGCATCCAGTGGGGCAACCCCAAGGGGCCTATGTAGGTTTCCGTTAGAATAATAACAACTTCGAGATCCTGAGGTCTCTTTGTTACCAGCTCTCAAGGCCCTCTTCAGCCCACCCTGGACAGCGGGCCGGGCTCCCAATCGGCTTCATCACTGCGTTGCTGGCGGCAGCCTATTCCCCTGGGCAACCCAGAGTGGGCAGCTCATTCCTGTGGCCAGGGGAGAGGGCCTGAAGTAGGAGGCCCAGGGGCAGGGCCAGGGCAGAGGACCACTCCCAGAAACCCCAACTGTGTCCTTCCCAGTTCTCCCCACGTGGACCCTGGGACTTAAGACAGGCTCCTGCGTCTTTAAGGGACAAACCCACCCAGAATGGATATTCTGCTGAGAAACAAAAGGTCGCCCTCCACAGCTCTTCTATTTCAAAGGCAAGTTCCATAGGTGGGACACTTTGCCGGGTCCACCGAGGCCCTCTCAGCACTTTGAAGTCCCTGCTGGGCTGTCCTGGGTCTGGGGTCTCCTCGTGAGCCCTGCGCAGAGGTATCTGATACTGCAACCCCCCAAGGCAAATATCTCAAAAAAAAAATCAAAAGACTCCCAAGAGACAAAGTAAGGTAATAAAGGCAGGAAAAACACAGCTAAAGGCCGCCTCTGCCACCTTTCATGAGGCTGATATGGGCAGGGCCAGGACAGACTGCCAGGGATCACCTGGTGCCCACCCTGTGCCAAGCGCTTTACATGCGGTGCTCACAACCTGGACAGCTATTACTCATCCCCATGTTACCAATGAGGAAGGCGAGATCTGAGCGGTTAAGTAACCTGCCTGAGGCCACACAGCTAGTCTGCAGAGAAGCCTGGATTTAAATGCACAGCACTGCCCAGTGCCCTCCCAGCCTCCGCCTCTCACTGCGGAGGACGAAGGGCACGTACTAGGAAGGGCATAGCGTCTGGAATCAGAGCCCTGGTGACGGCCCCCACTCATTAGCTATGACAGTGGGCAATTCCCCTTCCTCTCCAGGACTCAGTTACCTCACCTGTAAAATGGGAGTGCTCACATCAGCCCTGCCTCGAGTGACTGATGGGAGGGCCCCATGTGGTCCGGACCAGGGAACAGCAAGGTGCTTCACCGGTGTGAATTAGGACTGTTCCTCTCACCTCCTTGTTCTCCTACAAGCAGCCTGAAGTTTATGTGATCCTAAACACAGCATACCTAGGGCCCTTACAGGGAAGGTGATAGAGGACGTGCTAGGTCAGGCTTTTATCTTTGCGCGCACGCGCACACACGGGGTTGGGGAGAGTTGGCCTCTAGGCCGCCCCCATTGCCCCACGCATCTGTCCGCTGACCTGCAGCCCTCTCTCCTCCCAGGACATCGCCTCACCCAAGTTCTCCATGCCCTCGCCTGTCCGCACAGTCATCGCTGCCGACTTTGACAATGACCAGGAGCTGGAGATCTTCTTCAACAACTTTGCCCACCGCAGCTCCTCAGCCAACCGCCTCTTCCGGTAGATGCTTCAGCCTGGCTCGTGGCTGCTCAGCCTTCGTGGGTGGGGGTCAGGGAGGAAGGCTTAGGACTCAAAAGAGGAGCTCCAAGGGGAGGAAGGAGGAAGGTCCCCTGATGAAGGAGCATTAGAAGCTGGAAGGACAGGGATTGAGCAAGAGGCTGAGAGAATGGGGGTGGAAAGGTGAGGCGGGGAATCCTGGGCCTCCTGCTGTTGGGGAGGAAATGGTCAGGGGGACATGCACAAAGTGTGCCTAGAAGCCAGGCTCCACTCTACCACCCAAAGGGGTTCCAGAGCCAAATCTGTTTGGGTGCATCTGGATGAAGCAAAGACAGGCAGGTGTATTGACTACAGGACTTCTCAGAGCCTTTAGCATGACCATGAGTATTTTTACTTTCCAAGAGGTGAATGGAGTATTCCAAATAGATTTCAGTACAAGATGCTTCTTTCAGAGATTTTTCTCCTGGGATTGGTGCTCTGCTAAACATCCTTTGGGAAATGCTGAATGAGACAATTAATGGTAGATGAGGGAATGGTAGACAAGAATGGAGGCAACTGAGCACTGCATGCAGGGAGGAAAGGTTCGATTTTTCTCTAATTGGGGTCCAGAGACCACTGGCGTCAGAACCACCCAGAGTGTTTATTTAAAGTACAGAACCCCTGGGCCCGCCCTGGATCTCCTGAATCAGAACCTCAGGGGCTGAGGCCCAGGAATCTGTCTTTTTAACACGTGCACTAGGCATCAGGTGATTCTTATCACACCAACGTTTGAGAACTGCTGTTGGGGAACAAACCTCAGGACACATGTGGCCCTGGTTCCTGGCCTAAAACATGCTAACGGGCCTCAGCACCAGGTGGCAAGAGGAAGGTGGGCCAGGGACCTTGGATGCAGGAAATGGGCCAGATCACCTGCTCAGTTCCCCAAGGCCCCCATCCCCTCCCCCAGAAGGGCCCTCAACTATTAATAAAAGGCGAGAGCTGTGACTAAGCGTGTTTTAAAATATAATTATTAACAAAGCATCAATCCCGACCAGCTGTAATCACCCCCTGAAGGCACCAGATTTGCTAATTAGGTGCCTTGCAAAAAGCTTTTTCACAACTTCCAGATTAATTGCGGAAGATCAGTTGCTCCTTAACAGAGACACTGCTTTCCTTCTCTGGCTGATAAAGTGTCACTCGCCAGGGCCCGGAGCACCAAGGAGTCTCTGTGGCCCGAGCACCCAGGCACCTCCTCTGCCTGTCTGGCCTCTGTCAAACCTCCCAGCTTCCCTCCCGCCACCCCAAGGGCAGGCTGGCCCCGGGCTGTCTGCGGACAGGGTCAGCACATGGTCGCCCTATGGGTTAGTGTGTTTGTTTCCGCACAGCTCAGTGGAAGCCACTTCCCAGTCCGTGGCTGTGCCCCGAGTCCCTGTGGTAGATGCTGGGTCTGGAGCTCGCAGCAGAGACTGGGGCCACCACGCAGCTGGCAACTCTAGAAGTTGAGCCCCTACCTGCCCCATACCGAGTGGGCTTGTCACGTGTCACCGAAGGAAACATGGTGGGCTCCTTGTAGGAGTCACCAGGGATGCAAAGCCTCGGTGTGTGTGAGTCTGCCGGCCCTTCAGTGATGCCCGGGAAACCAGGGAACTCATCACCCACTCCAGGTGCTTAAGAAGAGTGCAGAGGCCCTGTTAACAATGGCGGGATGACAGGCGTGAGCAGGGACTGTCCCAGGCCAGGCAGGATGTGCGTTGATCTGGTCCCATGGCTCCACCTTGCGCACTCCCTCTTCTCTAGCTGCCGCCCTGTGTCCAGTCCTGCAGAGCAAGCTGTTGAAAATGCGAATCTGACCACACCCCTCTTCCACTTAAACCCCTTAGAAACTCCCCACTACCTTCTCTTTGATACATCCCACAGGCTGGCTTTGTCCCCAGCCTTGTCACTCTCCACTCCCCAGTTTACACCTAAGCACCAGACACCCCAAGCTTTCAGTTCTGGGCTGTACCAGGCCTGGACCCCTCAGGCTGCCCACACCATCTGCCTCTCTCTCACTTCTGAGTGACACAGACTCACTCATCATTCTGGTTTCAGCTTTGTTGACCCTTCCTCCGAGAAGCCTGCCCTGGTTGCCCAAATCTGGGTGAGTTTGCCCAGCTCTGCCCTGGAACTTCTGGGCTTTAGCCTTAGAAACCCCTAACTCCATTGTCACCTGAACCCAGGGATGGCTCTGCCCAGCTGTGACAGAGGTTGCAGGACACGAATGGTTGAAGGGACTGTGTATGCTAGCAGGCTGAGGCAGACACACACCTCCGGCAGGTGTGCACACACACAAAAGCACTTCCGGGCATGCTGCTCACTGCCCAGACTGCACACATGGATGTGCTCAGCACAGACGCCCCGCGTGGACAGAGGACACCTCCCAGGACATGTGCTCAACCCTGCAGACACCTTGCAGTTCTGCCAGCACCCTCTGCCATCCAGCCACCAGAAGCTCCAGCTCAGGGGACCCTGGCTCCCTCCTGAAAGAAAGCATTGGCCACAGCACAGCCCTCTGGTGACTGTGATTTAAGTGACAGCCCCACCTGCAACGTAAGGGGAGAGCGATACAGATCCTTCCTGGTCCTTTCTCCCCACCCCAGCCCCAAGATTGCTCCACACAGCCAGGACAGAGCGCACAAGGCTGCGAGAATCTACCCAGTGAGAAAAATTAGAGAGGAAAGCTCAAAGCCACCATCAGCGTTCAGCTCAATGTGCAGAAAGAACAGGACTTTCACAGTGGACTTTTCTACAGCAAATATTATCATGATTCAGAGTTCAAAACAGACAAAACCCTAGCCACCCAAAGGGACCCTTTCTTCCCTTTTGTCTCTGGATTCCTCCATGCACCCCACGGACATGCCTGGAGCTTCCTGAGAGCCAGGCACTGTGTTAGATGCTGTGGGAGATGCAAAGAAGAGTAATAATACATGGTCCCAGGCTGCAAAGAGTTAGCAGTCTAACTGAGGAGATAAGATGCATTCATATAGAGCTTCAACACAAGGCAGAAAGCAATAAAGGCCAGGAAAGTGACAGAGGCAGAGCAGGAAGGCATTGCTTCTAGTAGGACGATCAGGGAGGGCTTAGAGGAGGTGGCCCCGGAGTAGGGGTGGAACCCTGCATAGCATTCAGAACTCAGAAACCCAGGGCCGCTAGAAGGAAAGTGAAGGTCAGTTGAAGGTAGTTGCATCCCTGCCCCTTCTCCATCCGTCAGCTGCCCTTCCCCAGGCTGTCTATAATTCATCCATTAGAGAAGGAAAAATCAATATTTACCAACGTGAATTAAACCCCAAGAAAGGCGCAGGCAGGGTCTGTGAGCAGAGTGGCTCTGTCGGCATGCAGGAGGCAGCCCACGTGCAGCAGGGTCTCAGGGTGCTCAGGGGCTGGAGAATGGAGCTAGTGGGCCTCGAGGTCCAGGGAGCCCACTGGGGCTTTGCCAGCACACTGTCGTCCATGAGCAGCCTGTCTCCTGTCCCGCAGCACCATCCGCAGGGAACACGGCGACCCCCTCATCGAGGAGCTCAATCCTGGCGACGCCCTGGAGCCCGAGGGCCGGGGCACAGGTGAGGGCCCCTGAGGGCTCTGGCCTGCTCTCCCCTGTCTCAGTGCTGCCCTTAGCTTGGGGGGAGGGCGGGAGGGGTGGTGCAGCCAGTCCCACAGCAGGGCTTATCCTATCCCTGCCACTCTGAGGGCTGAGATCCTGGGGCAGGGGTGAGAGTGGGGGAGGAGGCCCTGGGAGTGCCAGGCGGGAAGCAGAGGAGGGGACGGTCCGTTCTCCCAGTCCCAGGGCCGCGGGGTCAGAGGCGTGGGATTCCATGGGCAGTAGCGTCTCTGGCGATGCTCTGCCAGGAGGAGAGGCAAAGGCGAGGCTGGGCGTCCTGTCGTCTCACCCCTCCTGGCACTCAGCCTGGTGTCAGCGAGCGAGCACTGGATCAGGAGTCCCAAGACTCGGCCCTGCCATTGCCTCACCTGTGGCCTTGGAAAAGGCACTTCATCTTCTGGATCTTGTTCGCCACACCCATAAGATGGGGATAATCGCATCCACCCTTCTCACGTCTCTGGGTTGTAGTGAGGACCAAAAGGAGGCCAGGTATACGCAAACCCCCGATAGACTGGCAAAAACAGTGCAAATATAAAGGGCGTGTATAAAAGACCAGAAAGCAGCCCTCATAGTCTGAATTATTTGCACCCATGCTTTCCTTCAAAAGTCCAGGGGGAGGAAATGGACCCCCTCTTCCATGAATGAGCGGCCACTGGAAAGGAGAGGAGCTTCAAGCTCCAGTCTTCAATGCCCAGGGCTGTGCTCTTTCCTCCCACACTCAGGGCGTGGACCTGGCCCTGGTCAGGAGCCCCCCTCCCCTGTGGGTCTCCTGGCCGACAGAGTGAAATCTGTGCTGTTGCAGGCGGTGTAGTGACAGACTTCGATGGAGACGGGATGCTGGACCTCATCTTGTCCCACGGAGAGTCCATGGCTCAGCCGCTGTCCGTCTTCCGGGGGAATCAGGTGTGCCTGGACCTGGGGACCCACAGAGCCCAGCCCAACGTGCTGAGCCTGGGCTGGATGAGGGCCAAGGAGCCCGGGATGCTTGCTTGACCAGAGTGGCAGGAAATGGACACCTGGGCCCTGGAGGAAGCAAATTCCCAGCAGCACAGTGAACTCCAAGAACAGCTGCCTCCCAGAAGCCCTTTGCCCCTCAGCCTTCTGCTGGCACTCCTCCAAACACTGTTTTCCCCGAGTCTATTGGCTTTCCCTCCTCTCTTCCAGGGCTGCTCTTTGCAAACTTCAGCCAGTCTGTCTCCCTGCCCGGCTCCCTCCTCCTCTCTTTCCTCTGCCCCTTTTCTTGTCCCCTTCTTTCTCCTTCTGTCCCTCTCTTACCCTCCCTCCCTGTTCCTTCTGCCCAGCCCGCTGATGCCTGGGCCTACCTTCCTCCCTCCCTGCAGGGCTTCAGCAACAGCTGGCTGCGGGTGGTGCCACGAACCCAGTTTGGGGCCTTCGCCAGGGGCGCTAAGGTTGTGCTCTACACCAAGAAGAGTGGGGCCCACCTGAGGATCATCGACGGGGGCTCAGGCTACCTGTGCGAGATGGAGCCCGTGGCACACTTTGGCTTGGGTGAGTCAGAGCTCGGGGCGGGGGGCGGTGGTGGGAATGCGCAAGTGAGCTATTGGTGGGACAGTGGGTGTTGAAACGGCATCCCGAATCCCGGCGAGATGCAGGGCTCACAGCCTGAGCATCTTCTAGATACCACGTCACTGTGACACCAGTTACTGGAGGCAACCCTGCTTTGAAGTGAACCTGAGCTCAGGAGGGAGGTTTTCATGCCCCACTCCTTGCTGGGGTCCATCCTGGTGCCTCTGTCGAATTAGTTCACCTTGGGGTCAGAGTATTTAATCCTCCATTTGTCTGAGGCCATGGCCTTGTCCTTCAAACAATGGCCTGCAGCAAACCTACCCAAACCAGCTGCTTCCCTGGCCGCGTGGGTGTCGGTTCAGTGATTAAAATGTCTCACCAAACCCCTGATGCCTTCTCTTGGCTAGAAGGCTTGGGGAAAGCATGCATGATCAGTGGGAGTGATGTCACCCCCGAGAGGGTGAAAATTGGTTCTTGGCTGGGGGTGGTATTAAAAAAAATGCTAGTCTTTTATGTGTGTGTGTGTGTGTGTGTGTGTGTATACACACATAAAAGACTAGCATTTGATATATATATACACACATACGTATGTATCTATATGCACATATGTGTGTATGTGTGTTACATATATGTGTGTGCATACATATGTATAACATAACCAGATATACAGTATACCTGTGGTGTTAATAAAATATCACTATACACCTATTAGAACAGCTAAAGTAAAAAAGAGTGACGAAACCAAGTGCTGGCAAGGACGTGGAAAAGCCGGGTCTCTCGTTCGTTCCTGGAACAGCTGCTCCAGAAGGTGGTTTGGCAGTTCCTTTTAAGACAAAAACTAAACTACACAACCATTATAGGGCCCAGCAATCACACTCCTGGACATTTATCCCAGATGAGTGGAAACTCATGTCCACACAAAAATCTATACGTGATTGTTCATAGTAGCGTTATCTGTAACAGCCCAAACTGGAAACGACCTTGATGTCCTTCAGTAGGTTAACGGTTCAACAAGCTGTGGTCCATCCACACCATGGAATATTACTCAGCAATCAAAAGGAATAAACTGTTGATACACACAGCAACTTGGATAGCTCTCATGGGCATTATGATGAGTGAAAAAAAAAAGGCCAGTCTCAGAAAGTTACATGCTGTTGATTCCATTTATATAATATTCTCAAAATGACAAAATTATAGAGATGGAAAGTAGATCAGTAGTTGCTGGGGGCTAGAAATGGTGAAAAGGAGAGGGGTGGGTGCGACTTTAAAGGGATAGCCCCAAGGAGGTCTTTGTGGTGACAGAGCAGTTCTGTGTTTTGATTGTGGTGGCAGTTGCACGAATCTACAGGTGCTCTGCATAAGATACCTTATTCCATTCTCACCACAACAAGATGAATTAAGAACCATAGCCCCCATTTTACAGGTCAGGAAACTGAGGCTGAGGTTAAGTAACCTGCTCTAAATCACACCTCCAGAAAGTAGGGAGATCTGGATTTGGACCCCACCTCCTTGGACGCCACAGTCTGAGGTCTTAACCACTGTGACTTGACTGCCAGACCTCCCATAGCTGCTCTGTGCACAGCCAGCCAATGTCCTTCTGCTCTGCCCCTTTCTTACTGGACATCCATGACCCCTCAGTTACTAGATGACCCAAGTGAGGCCATCCACGCCAAGGTGACTGCCATGGTCTCATAGGTAGGATGTTTATCCAGTTATCTGGCTTGGATATCAACCCACACCCCATTGTACAGATAAGGAAATTGAGGCTCACAAAGAAAATCAATGGTGAGGCCAGGACTGGGGCTGGTTTCTCCTTCCACACATCCCATGAGCTGCCTCTGCTATTTTGAGATGTGTATTATAGGTCTTATTGGGTCTCTTCTCTGGCCAGTATCTGTCCCCGCCAAGAGAACAGATCTGCTTCTTCAGCTGGGCAGCCTCAGCCGGGTCATCTGGTGGGATCACAGGGGCCCAAGAGCCTCCGTGCCTCTTCACAACAGTCTGCCTCCCCTGCTTAGGGATACGGATCCTGCTCCTGCTTGGGAGTCCCTGACTGCCAATCCTTGCTGTTTTGCAAGGCTGTGGGATTTGTTCTGGGTCTGAGCTCTGGTTCAAACTGCTCCACGGGTCCCATGCAGCCTCCCCCGTTGCCGGATCCACTCCCAGAGAGGCGCAGAAGGAAGGCTGCTCTTGGAGACCGGCCCCAGTGGGTCAGCCTTGGGCCTGGCAGTGAGATTCCCTGAGGCCACTCAGCAGGCAGCAGGGCCAGCAGCCAGGGACACAGCGAGGGGCAGGTGGCTCCATCCCTGCAGCTCCAAGGCCCCCACGTCCGGAAAGAACTTCATGGATCTAGCACAGCACAGGCCTTCCTGATTGATGGAGGGCCAGCAGTGGGGCAGGAAGAGAGGGAGCTGATGGGAAGGCCGGATGGAAGGAAGGATTGAGGAAAGAGAGAGAACAGCAGGGAGACAGACAGAGACGGGGACCAGGGGAGACCAAGAGACGCAGAGAGACATGGCAAAGAGACAGATGAAATAAAGAAATGCTCCCTGCCCTCCAGGCTCACGGTTGTGAAAGAGGCAGAGGACACAGGAGCTCTCGTTGCAAGCAGACTTGGATGCCCCGTCATACTGACCCAGTGGCTGTGAGGACTGAGATGGGAGAAATTCTCTCTGCTCTGGGCAGTTTTCCCAAGGAAGTGGGCCTTGAACTAGGTCTAGACGGATGGTGGGAATTTGGAAGGTGTGGACGGGAGCTGAGGAGAGCATCCAGGGGCTGGGCTGGTTTGAAAAAAGGCCAGAGGTGGGAGTGTCCACTGTGTCCACAGAGTAGGAAAGGTCTGGTAGGAGCGGAGTCTGGAAAGGGAGGTCAGAGCCAAACTGTCAGAAACACGCAGAGCCAGGTGGAGAGGGCGGGCGAAACAGAGGGAGCCGCGGAGCCAGGAAAGCCAAAGCCAGGCTTTGCTGTGGGAGGGCAGGGCCGCGAAGGAGCCCAGGAGCCACTCGCAGGGCATAGTTATCTATAAATGTGCTCCTGTGTATTTTGCATGTAATAAAGTCAAATTAGAAGGCTTTAATTTTTTTCTGACTGCAGGAATAATGCTTATTGGTTATAGGAAAATTAGAAAATATAACATCATTAAAAACGGAAAGTAAAAATAACCCATAATCTCGCCACTATGTTTGGAATATTAAGCAAAAAGGAAACATTCCCTCTTCACCCTCCGCCAGTGTCATTTGATTCATTTAGTCTCTACTCACTTACTGAGCACCTACTCTGTGCCAAAAACTAACTAGACGAAGAGCCTTACCATGGCTAACCCTACATTCTAGTGGAAGGAGGAGTAGCATATGACACCTAATAAACGCAACAACTAGGTAAATATATAAAACGTTAGATGTTAAGTGCTATGAAAAAAGAAAATGCAGAACAGGGTGAGGGGATTAGGAATGCAGAGGGGAAGGGGCAGGGAGCAGATTCAAATATAGTGTTCCAGGGTGGCCTTTTCCCAGTTCCATACTTTTGATATGATTTTATTGCATGCAAAATACACAGGAGCACATTTATAGATAAACATGCCTTGGAATCTTTTTTAACAGAAATTATTATACTCTCCCTATTATTCCCAGACTTGCTTTTTTGTCTCTCTCTCTTAGCGGTGTATCCTGGACACCACCCCAAGTCTGTGCATATCTCCTTGGTTTTCCTTCAGTGCTGCACAGCATTTTATTGTGTGGCCACATTCACAATTTGTTTAGCAAGTCCCCTACTGATGGACAGCTTGCTGGTTTCCAATCCTGAACAGTTTGTTTTGTGGTATTTGGGCTGAGAAGGGGCAGGTCCAGAACAGGAATGCAGAAAGGGCTGCCTTGACGTCTGCATGACTAAGAAGGAGATGCGGGCCTGAGGCTGTGAGGGAAGGGCCGAGGGCTGCGGGAAGCCCCCCCTTCCAGCACTCGCGACGCCCGTGCTCACCCCCTCTGACCCTGCTCCTTCCTGCCTCCTGACTTTGCAGCAAGGCACGGTGAGCGGCTTGTCCGTGGACTTGTGTGTGGGTGCACACGTGTGCCTCTCAGCAGCCACCTCCTGGGCCCTTCTCTTCCCCACGTGCCTGGCCAGCTCACCTCTCGGTGGCTGGAGAAGGAACGCCTCCCAGCGCTGCAGGCCTTTGCTTGGTCAGCACTGAACTGTGGTTAGAGGACTCAGCTTCTCAGACCCTCACTGTGCACCCCGAGGATCCAGACTGCATCGCATCACACAATGAAAACTCAGGGACCTTGCTGTGTTGCATTCTTCCGGGGGGTTTCCAGCAGGCCCACTCCGTTGTGCAGAGGGCTCTCAGCTTCATCCTATAGAACCATTCCACGCGCCCCCGCTCGGGGGAGCCCCTGGCCTCGTTCGCTGCGCCCTCCACCCTGCCCTGGCCTCCCCCTGCTCCCCCCGGTGCAGATGGCCCGCCAGGCTCATAAATCAGCGTTTCTGCTCACAGCCCTTGTTGAGTGCCCCACTGGACCCCAGTTGCTCTGAACCGACATCCCAGCCCTGCACACCCACCGCACGTATCCCACACCAAGGCTCTCTGGCTCCGAGCGAGCACAGAGCTGAGGCAGCTCTACCAAACCCAGTAAGTGAAAACAAGCGCCAGTAATCTCCTTGCCCCACCAGCCCCCCGTCGGGGGCTCACCCCCTGGGCCAGCCCACCCCAGGCTTTGATGGCACCCCCAGCCCCTGCACACACACCCCTCCTTCCTTTCAGCTGATGGTTTGCAAGTGACTCAGAGCTGCCTCCAAGCCGGTTGGTGCTCATTTAGGGAAGGAAAATTCAGTGGCCCACATAAAAATCGGCTTTATTAAAGTGCAAAAATCTTCCCCCAACTGCATTCCCATCATCTGTTTTGCTTGTAATGCTTCTGAAAAGCGCGATTCTCTGTGCCTCCTTGGCCTTTGTCCTTTAAAAGCTGCCAGAGGCGACTCCCTGCTGCTCTTAATGGGCCCTCCTCTGCTCACCAGCTCCCTGACACACTGGCCCCGCAGTCTGGCCAGCTTAAAGGCCCCCTTGCCTGTGCAGCTGCGTGAAGACTTGAGATTTCTGGGGCAGAGGGAACAGCGGGACCTGGGGGCAGGAGCCTGGGTTCCAGTCCTAGCTCAGACACCTGCAGGTCACTGCATCTTGCCAAGCCTCAGTGTCTACATCCGGGAAGTGGGGATAAACTCTCCCTCTCAGAGTAATTGGGAGGATTCAAGCCAGCCACACCTGTGAGGGCTCCAAAGTCCCTCCCCACACCACCCCCCGCCCTGTTTCCTCTCCCACCCACCCCACCTAACACACATGCTCACACCCTGTTTCTTCCACTTTGAGCTTCTCCCTGATCTTCAACACACATGCCCTTTTCATACCTCTATACCTTTGCCAGTGCTGTGCCCTCTGCCTGGAATGCCCCTTCCTTCCCTTCTCTGCCTCACAAGCTCTTGTTCCTCCTGAATCCTCCAACGAAATGACTTTTAACACCCACCTCTCTCACCAAGTGGTACCAATACTATGGGTGCACTTTCCCAGTTTATTATAACATAATCACTGTGTTCATTGCCCTCATGGGGCTCAGCTCCTCCAGGATGGGGCCTGGGTCTGTGTCCTTCCTGCTAAATCCCAGATCCCTGCATGATGCTTGGCCCATGGTGGGCTGGTCATTGGGGTGGGGTGGGCAGTAGAACAAGTGTTTAGCAGGTACGGGCTTTGGGATCAGATACTCCCTCTCTGGGTAACTGTGAGCAATTCCCTTCTCCTCTCCAAGTTTCATCCCCCTTGACTCTAAAATAGAAATTATAAAACTAGTACCTTCTCATGGGACTGCCGTGAGGATCCAGTGCCCTAACACTGAGAATCACCTGGTACAGTTTGGGGTGCATACTCTCTAGCAGTATTGCCAACAAGCAAAAGCCCTTTGGGAACTGCAGGCCCCCATGTCTAAGAGACGATGAGGATGGGGCTGCTGAGGGTCCAAATCGGCCGGGGCAGGGCTGACATCCAAGCAAGAGCTGTCCTTCCTGGATGGGGTAGAGCTCCCTTCTTACAGATGAGGAAACCAGGGACCCAAGTCGGCAAAGTAATCAGTGACGAAGGAGGGAGTCCTACTGAGATGTGCTCTCCCCGAGGCCGACTTATCTCCTAGTCCTGCCCCTCCCTGGGTCTGGAGGAAGGGAAGAAGCAAGATTCAGAGGCAGGATGTAAATTCGTGATTGTCTATGAATATTCGGCAACTCTTTGAGTTATTTGTGGCACTTCTGTCAGGCTGGAAAATGTATTCATGTAGCTGTTCTGTTGGCTTAGGTGAGAAACATTTGCTCTTCTTTGTCTCCTTTTTTTTTTAGTAGAAAATTGTTTATTTATTTTTTGCGGTACACGGGCCTCTCACTGTTGTGGCCTCTCCCGTTGCGGAGCAGGCGCGCAGGCTCAGCGGCCATGGCTCACGGGCCCAGCCGCTCCGTGGAATGTGGGATCTTCCCAGACCGGGGCACGAACCCGTGTCCCCTGCATCGGCAGGCGGACTCTCAACCACTGCGCCACCAGGGAAGCCCAAGTGTTTACTTTTTACGTCTGCCATTTAATTTGGGTGCTGAACACCCTAAAAATGCCACATCTCTTGAACCTCAAGAGACTGCTTCAAAACAGTAAAAGAGGGGCTTCCCTGGTGGCGCAGTGGTTGGGAGTCCACCTGCCGATGCAGGGGACGCGGGTTTGTGCCCCGGTCCGAGAAGATCCCACATGCCGCAGAGCGGCTGGGCCCATGAGCCATGGCCACTGAGCCTGCGCGTCCGGAGCCTGTGCTCCGCAACGGGAGAGGCCACAACAGTGAGAGGCCCGTGTACCGCAAAAAAAAAAAAAAAAAACAGTAGAAGAGGGGGCAGTTGATACCTCCCCAATCCTATTTTCACCCCCTTCCCCCAAAATGAATTATTGTGGAAGGAGGGAGCGGGGCAGTAGGAGTTTATGAGAAATGTTTTCTGGCTTAATAAAGCCAACCCCAGAACCAGCAAGACCAAGCCTGGAAGGGGAGAGTCTCCGCAGGAAGGGAAGCTACACCGCGTCTTCGGGTCTCTGCACTGTGTGCGAGTCTCTGCTCCAGCGGCCTCTCTCTGGTGCTGCTGCCCCATCGCGGGCACAGGGGCAGGGGCTACTCACCTTTGACACTTCCGGACGGTAGCAGCTGGTCCCTGCCCTCAATAATTCACGGCGGCCCGAGACTGGAACGCTACAAAGAGACTTCTCTGGAGGTCTTGGGTTGGAGGCAGCAAAAGAGAACCGAACGCAGGGAGGCTCAGGAAGTGGGTGATGTGGCTGTCAAGGTGCACCTTCTTCTGGAAGCCCCGGACTGATGCACCGGGACTTGGGGAGAAAGATGCAGCTGAGTCCTTCCACGCCATCCTGTCTTAGCTCCCACCCCAGAGCAGACCTCTGCACAGAGGCGTCTGTACATAGATTCCCCACAAAGTCTAGACGTAGCCTCAACCCTTTTCTAAAATATGGGAACCCCTTTCATACGTGAAAATGTTTCACAGACCACCCTCGACCCCCATAGCAGCGATCATTGTAAAATCCACTGGTTGACAGCAGTGACCAAAAGCTGCTATAAATTTGACAGCACTCTTCAGTTTCACTTGTTTTCTAACAGTGTCTATATGCATTAAGGGGAAAGTAGCACACACATGTGGGTGACATCATTTTTTCAGCCTATGAATGATGCTTGGGGGAGTGTATGGATTGGTGGACCCCCGAGCACCAAGCCCACGTCTGGTCAGCCCTGGTGGGTGACTACCGACGAGGGGGCTGCAGCCTCCCTCCTACATGTGCTGAGCACTGCCCTCTTCCCCAGGTGACTGATTGGAGAAAGGCGCCTCCCAGCAGGTGAGGCCCACCCCCCAACTCCTCTCCACCCCAGTCCATCACCATTAGCATGACCTTGCCTCGGTGACGGGCCTGTTGCCTTAAACAGGGAGCTGGGGCCGGCTTTGACGATGCCTAAACACCTGACAAATCTTTCCAACCTGCTTCCTGCCAGTGATGTAACACGTCGCTTTAAGGATGTGTGCAGATGGATTCACCATGAATGTTCTCTGAGCTCCACCACCGTTCATTTTTGTAAACATCTCAGCTTTGTAGGACTGTCTTTCTCGGCCTTTTGGTTCTTTGTCACCTCAGCTTTTATTTAGAGCTCGGCTCAAATGCTTTCTCCCCAGGAGCCTATCCCTCACCACCCTGACTAGAAAAGCCCCCAGCCTACTCTTACTTCCTTTTTATCCCATCACCCTATTTTTGTTTTCCTCACAGAGCTTGTCAATATCTGGCATTATTTGTTCATCTGTGTGCCTGTCTATCCCCACTAGAGTGGAAGCTCCCTAAAAAGAGGGTTATTCCCAGTGACGGCCCCTAGCAGACTATAAACATCCAATATAAATACAAATACGAATAAATGCGACACGCCTGAGATTACACAGCAAGTCAAATGTAAAGCTGAGATTTGTCCCCAGGTCTCCCAGATGCCCACCCCCCGCCATGTCCTTCCCAGCATGCTCGGTAAGTGGTACAGCCAAGATCTGAATCCAGGACTCCTAAGTCAACATGTTTACCACCAGGCTTTACTCTCTTCCCTCCAAAATCCACTAGAATATAAGTTCTAGAAATGTGCTGTCCAATATGGTAGCCACTAGCCATGTGTGGCCGTTTCAAGTCAGTCAGTTAAAATTAAATTGAATTTAAAATTCAGTTCCTTATCACGCCACTTCAAGTGCTTAGCAGCCATGGCTAGCAGCTACCATAGCTGACAGAGCAGACAGAGAACATCGCCATCACTGCTGAAGTTGTCCTGGACGGCATTGTTCTAAAAGAGCAGGACCTCATCTGCCTTGTTCACTGTTTCCCCAGCACTTAGAACAGTGTTCAATTCATATTTTTTATTAGGTGAGTGAATAAATGAATGATGATACTTTTGTGGAGAATCCCTCCTCGCCCCCTGCTCTGCAGCTGATCCTTTCATCCCATAGGGAAGGATGAGGCCAGCAGCGTGGAGGTGACATGGCCCGATGGCAAGATGGCCAGCCGGAATGTGGCCAGCACGGAGATGAACTCGGTGCTGGAGATTCCCTACCCGCGGGATGAGGACAGACTTCGGGACCAGGCCCCCCTGGAGGTGAGCAAAGGCATCTGGGCCTCAGAGCCAGAAAAGCAAGCCCCACCCATGGGCTGAAGCTGGATTCCCAGGAATCTGCAGACTTTGTTTCTAGAATGATGGAAATCATCTTAGCAAAGGGCAGGCTTCATAGTGACCCCTCCATGCGTAGTTTGCACACCAGTGTCACACCCACATCTCTTCTGCTCCTTGCAGAAATCCTGGCGTATTGGAAGGGCAAGCATTTTTCACCCATTTTATAGAGAAGGAAAACCAAGACCAAGAAAGAGAACCCACCAAAACCGCACAGCCATTTGTGAGCAGAGTTAACAGTTGGCCCCAGGTCTCCTGCTTCACTTCTGGTTCTTTCCAAAGCTTCTGACAAAGCTGTTGCTTCTGAGGGTGGGGCAGAGCCTCTGGGGGCTCCTCAGGGAAGAGCTCTGGACCACTCTCTGGAGAGGATCACGCCATTGTAGATAACAGGGGCCCACTTAAACTCACACAGAAGAGGGGGCTTACAGGGAGGGTTCTAGAGGAGCTCACAAAATGCAAAGGATGCTCAGGGTGAGAGCCACGGCAGCTCAGTGGCCCCAGGAGCTCAAAGACCTTTGCCATTAGTGCACTGGCTCTGGGGGGAGAATTATCCTTCCCCAGGAAGCCGCACCAGCACCCCATCATTTGTCTTTTCCAACAGTCAACATTTCTGTCTTGTGTAAAGTATTCTGTTTCGAGTCCCCAGCCACCCCACCTCCAGCCACCAGCCTGCTGTCTCTGAGACCTCCACATAGACACAGCAAAGCCTCCACAGCCCGGCGTGACCAGGCGCCAAAATCTGTCTCAGCCTCACTTAGTTCAGCTTTTAGCCGCGAAGCCTTTGAGTCCCTCCTCCTGCTGGGATGTCCACCTCTTGTCCAGCCAGCCCTACCCAGAGGTGGGGGACGGCCTGGCTTGCAGGCACCCACCCCTTGTGAGTGGGGAAGGTTCTCAGAGAAGGCAGTGCGGGGAGTGAGCAGACACCTCTAAAAGGTTCTCCACCCCTCTCTGCACTTTGCCTTCCTGAGACCCAGCCTGTCTCAGGGTGATGCCACAGGAGGGGCAGACTCTGTTAGGTGTCCCGGTGCAGGCGTGTGGATCCCATGCAAGGGGAGTGAGCAGGAGTTTGCACGGATCTGTTCGTGGCCTCCCCGCCCAGTTTCCTATTCTCAGTGCAAGGGAAGGGGCCTGGCAGGAAGGGGATCTCCCAGGCACAGAGCTAAGAGCAGCCCTCATGGTGGGGTCAGGGTGACAGCTGCTCTGCGGCTGTAACTAGGAGGGGACCTGAGATGGGATCTTCTCAACTCACCAGTGTCTCTGCTTCTGCCTACCTTGCAGTGCGGCCAAGGATTCTCCCAGCAGGAAAATGGCCATTGCATGGGTGAGTTGCCTGCCGGTACCAGGGGACAAGGCAGAGGCCAGACTGTCACTGGGGAATGTCAGCCTGGGCCCTGGCAAGGCTCAGGTTGCAGACAAGGGGCAGAAGGGTGAGGAGGCGAATGTGTTGTTTGTCCCTGAGGCTTCAGATGCCAAGACAGCCGCCAGGTGACTCGGCAAGGTGGGAGTGATGGTAGTGACCAGCAGGCTGAATCACTGCAGCTCTGGGAATTGGCAGTGCTTCCCTGCCATGCATACAGAGAGAATGAGCATGGGGAACAGACGCACAACCATCTGGACAGAGCTCACAGGGAGGCCTGGCTCCCAGGGGGCCGTGGTGGCTAGGGTGGGCGTGCATCCTCCTTCCAACAGAACAGCAAGCAAGGGGGCCGGTGAGCAAGGGTGGGCATGGCTGGGGGGCACTGGAGCAAACCAGAGTGCAGCATGTGGTCACAGTACAGAAGGGAAATTACAGCCTTGTGCAGTGCTGGCGGGCAGGTAACTACAGCATGGCCAGGCTCCATGAGGCAGCTCTGTGAGGGTCCAGGGACCTTCTAAAAGTCCCCCGAGGGTCTGGAATGGGCAAGGGGCAGCCTAGAGGCTCAGCACCCAGAAGGTCTTCAACCCAATGTCTTCCATCCCAGTGACCAGCAACGAGGGGTCAGGCCAAGGATTCCACCTGCCCTTTAGATGCTCAGGCAGCTTTCTTCCCAAGTTCCCTCTGCAGATACTCATCAGCCCCAGGTGAATGCGTTTGCTACTGAGATGCAAGAGTAAACAAGAAGGACGCAGTCCCTGCCCTTTTGGAGCTTAGAGCCAGTGGGAGGGGCACACAAGTAAACAGCGATGACCACACAGCCTGAGCAGGGCTGGGGTGGGGGGAGGGGAGGGGACTGTGGGAGCACAAAGGTGGGATCTCAAACCAGTCTAGGGAGGGTCCAAGAAGGTGTCCCAGAGAAAGTAAGGTGTGAGTTGAGACCTGAAGGGTGATGAGGGGTTCGCCCAGCAGAGGGGAGAAAGTGTTCCAGTGGAGGGCGCTGCATGGGCAAAGGACCACAAGTGAGAAATGGAGGAGGATGGCTCGAAGGGGGGCTTGAGGAGGAAATTAGTCCCCTCTGCTCTTCATGTCCCCACAGACAGTGCATGTACACAGAAATTCCAGCTCCTTCCCCATGTGCTGGGCAGACCCCATGACACCCCCAGTGCAGCCGCCGCTTCCTTTCACCATCCAGCAGACATCTGTGTGTGTCCTACATAGCACCCCGCTCGGGGAGCTGGGGGTGCAGGCCAAGCACCTGCCCTGGAGGGGCGTCCGCTCTAGTCTGGGAGACAGGCCACAAACATGTTACCTGAATGCTGGAAGAGATGAGTTAAGAAACCTTCAAGCAAGGTGCTCTCTGAAGACTCTTCTAGATGGCGTGGACAGGGAGAGGACCTTTGAGCTGAGACCTGAAGGATGAGAAGGGTCCAGGCACAGAAAGACTGGAGGGAGGAACTTTCCTGGCAGAGGGAAGGGTGGGAGCAAAGACCAGGATACAGGTAAAAGGCTTGGTGTGTCAAAGGGACAGGAAGAAGGCCAGTGTGCCAGGAGAGGATGGACGAGCCAAATGCCAAGTTAAGGAGGGTCTTGAGGCCCTAGAAAGGTGTCTGGACTTTGCTCTCAGGGCCCTTTGCAGTTAAGCAGGAGAGTATAGGCCAAACCAGCAGACATGGGACACATAATCAACTGAGCAAGGAACCGTCTGGGAGTCATCTTTGTTAAGGGCAAAATAAGCCGCTCATGACACTGGAGGATACAGAAAAGACAGGACTATCTTGATTCTTCCGAAGGAGTGAGGGAGGCTGGATGGGGTAAAAAGCATGTGGTTCACATTTTCAAATGATCACCTGGTTGCTGAATTGCAGATAGAATTGGAGGGAGGGGGGAAGCCAGGAGGCCGGGAGGGAGGCAGCTGCAGAAATCCAGGCAAGAGCTGCTGGTGGTTGGGGAGAGGCTGGTGGCAGAGGAGTGAGAAGGAGGTGGCCAAATGGGAGAGGTACTGTGGGGGCAGAACTGACAGGATCTGTTGTTAAATCGCCGGCAGAGGTCAGGCAACCAGAGGAATCGGGGATCACTCTGATGTCTGCTTGAGCAGCCAAGTGACTGACAGTGGCGTTGATTGAGTTGGGGAAGATGGGAACAGGGGGCAGAAGATGCTTGAGGGCCAGGGGGGATCTAGAGTTCCATTTGGACCCAGTAAGTTTGAGATGCACGGTAGACAGATTTACAAGTCTGGAGCCCCAGGGAGAGGTCGTGGCTGGAGTTGGAAGCTCTGGAATCATCCATATATGAAGGGACCACCTAGAGAAAGTGTGGTAGATAGAAGAGAAGACCCCGGACCAAGGCTGAATGCCCCCCACGTGTAGAGGTAAGTACAGGAGGAGCCAGCCAAGGGGACTGAAGCGAGGAACTTGAGGCCCAGAGAGAAGAAAGGACATGCCCAAGGTCACGGTGGGGGAGGGGTGAGTAGCAGAGCCTGAGCAAGGATCCACTGCCCACAGCCCCCAGTGAGTGGCTCCCCTTGCCTTTCAGACACCAACGAATGCATCCAGTTCCCATTCGTGTGCCCTCGAGACAAGCCCGTGTGTGTTAACACGTACGGAAGCTACAGGTGCCGGACCAACAAGAGATGCAGTCGGGGCTACGAGCCCAACGAGGACGGCACAGCCTGTGTGGGTGAGTGGAGCCCCTGCCATAGTCCAGTAGCAAAGGGAACTTGCCTTCCACTGGGGAGCTCTGGGAGGCCCCAGATCCAGGTCCCCAGCCCCTGCCTTCCCCTGGCTGGAGGGAGTCTCCCTAGACCCTCGTGGGGTCTCCAAGGAAGACCATAACAGAGGCTTGGAGAAGCCCTACCACTACTGCCATCATCTGAAGGGCCCCTGGGGCGCTGTGTCCTGGCCAGAGGCTATTGCTCTTCTTGTTTCTCCCCTTCTCACATTTCCTAAAACTAATGCTCCTCCCTTAAGCTCAGCCCACCTTTTCCTACCTGGGATATAGACTAACCCCCACTACTCACCGTTGTCTGAATTTCTGAACTGCTGTTTGTCTTCTTCCTCCCAAACGCTTCCCCACACCCACCCCCCACCCCCACCCCCTTTCTCTTTTTCCCATTTTCTATCTCTCTGCCCCATGCTTTTTGCAGCTCAAGTGGCCTTTTTAGGTGGGTATCCTTCTGCCGCCTTTAGAATCTCTGAGCCTCTCTCTCGGGCCTCATCTCTTTCTCTAGGCCTTGGACTTTGCCTTCAGTTATATGCACTTTAAATTCCATCAATAAAGGAAAAAACAAAAACAAAACTAACAACCTTTGTGGCAAACTAAATCTCTCCCACTGCCTGTCTCTCTCTCCATGCCCAGTAGATTCTGCTGCGCGCTCCCTCTGAATGGACCGTGGGGGTGGCCATCTTTGAAAAGGGAAGTTTGGGAGATATTTGTGTCACCTTAGCTGTTTGTGAAGCTTTCTTTGCACGCTTTCTGAGAACGTGTTTTTTACCCCATCCAGCCTCCCTCACTCCTTCAGAAGAATCAAGATAGTCCTGTCTTTTCTGTATCCTCCAGTGTCATGAGCGGCTTATTTTGCCCTTAACAAAGATGGCTCCCAGACGGTTCCTTGCTCAGTTGATTATGTGCCGCATGTCTGCTGGTTTGGCCTATGCTGTTTCTGCTCTGTGGGCCCTGACTGCCTGTTGTAGAGAAAGCCATATTGGGGTTGGTGGTCATAATGGGAGAGGGAAAGGGTGGCCCTTTGGGACTCTTGATAAAAATGTTAAAATTTGAACTTGCAAAGTCTTCCAGCCTCTTTCTGGAGAAATCATGCCAATAAACCCTCTGCTGGGTGTTAGTGTCTAGCTAGTGAAAAAAAAAAATGTGTCTGAGGCAAGTAGAGCTGGTTGGAATGCTGAATTAGCAGCAGCCCTCCCATCACATGGCCCTTGGAAAGCAACTCATGAGATAGAGAGAGTGTCTGCCCCAGGCATAAGCAGTGGTTGGGTCTGTGCATCAGTGTTCACGTGTCAGGACTGGGGTTTGGGCCAGGTAAGGGATGTGGGATGAGCAAGGGACAGACATGGAGTGCTCTGAGGAAGTCACTTCTCCACTCTGGGCCTCAGTTTCCCTCATCTAAATGACAAGAGAGTTGAGCCTAAGGGCCCTTTCCTTTCTAAGACCCCCTTAATATGTGGCTGGACATAGGCATGGCTAGTGTCAGGTTACCCTGCTTTCTAGAAAGAACCTTGCAGTTTGGTCTCCCCTGAAATATTCTTGGAAACGTGGAAGCTCCTGGAAGCTTCACCTGTGGGAATGATGTAACACCTTAGAATACTTTCAGGACAAGCTTCAGAAGTGAAGGTGTGTTATAAATCACAGATCTATTCTTTATGGGGAGAAAAGGCACCCCAAGATATAATAAAATCACACTTAAGAATGCACCAAGCCTTTAAAAAAATATATTTAACAAAAAAACTACCATTTTCTGATATAATAATAATATGCCCATAGATCACAAACTATTAATTCCTCATAGCTAGGGCTGTTTTTACACTCGGAATAGGAGCTTAAATGAAAAGTTTTAAAATAACAACAGCTACAGTTTCACAGAAAAGGTACACCCACTTCAAAATCGCTCCACTTCTGGGAAGCCCACTCCTGTGTGTTGACATGGAATTAAAGATCTGAAAGGGCCCCAGAGATGAGGCTCCAGAGAGATGAAGTGATCTGCCCAAGGTCACGAGCCAGCTGGTCCCCGAGCCAAAGCTGGAGCCCTCTGCCACCACCGCATCTTGTCAGGGGGGTAACAGACAGCGCTGTCCCCATTCACACTATTCCCTCGTCATTCTGGAAGATGCTGCCTTTTTAGAAAAGAACAAGTGGATCTAAGACAGTGAGATAAGTAAAACCCAAAGCCCACAGAGGTGATGGTTCCAAATGCAATGGTAAATAACAAGATAACAGTGTCCACTGATTGGCTGCACACACAACACGAGAAATAAGGGCTAAGACAGCTAGTGTGACAGCCTGACAAGGACATCAGGAGATCCAAGGTGACAGCAAACTTCAGAAGATGCCTTATAAGTAATAACCGTGAATTCCTGCACACTGAGTTTCTTATAACTGGGTATATTTGTGTGGTTTTACCCTACTTGGTGGGTGGGGCCAGATGAGTTAAAAGAGGAGTTCAGAATCCCTCCAGCTGCTAAGAGCACAACTGCAGTATCCTGACTCCAGGGTAAGAAGGCTTTCCGTTAGATTCGTTCTTTCATTCATTTAGTCTTTCAACAAATATTGGTTGAGCACCTATTATGTGCCAGGTACTGAGCTAGGCTCTGGGCATGCAATGGTAAGTGAAGGTGACATGGTTGCTGTCCCCATAGTGCCGTCCTCCAGCCAGATGGAAGAGCCCAGGGCACGGGATGGGAATGGGACTCAGAGAGGCTTTCTAAAAAGTCTAGCTAAATTCTTGGATTGCTGTACCAGAAAGCTAGCTCTCTGCATTCGTTCATATATTTATTCAACAAGCATTTATTGAGAACCTCCCTCCCGTGTGACAAGCACTGGGTCCCTCCCATGAGGACTGTGACAATGAGGGCGTCAAGTTCCCTGACCCAAAGATGCTTGTGTTGGAAGAAATACGAGGCTGAAGATACAGAGCACAGGCAGGTACTGAACCAACTCAGCATCACCTGCCCCCAAAGAACAGACCTCCCCAGTGGGCCAGGAGCCCAGGCTTTCCAAGCCCAATGCCTCAGTCCAGTGTGTTTACTGGCCTGTGCTGAACCAGCCACGGATGGGTGGGCGCAGAGCCGCACCCAAGCTGGCCAGGCTCAGCGCCACTTTTTCTTCTAATTCGTCTTGCCCTGAGGCCCCTGGGCGCCCAAAGCCTTGCCTTTCCCTTCTGAGCACAGACAATTCAGTCTTTTCTTTGTCTGCTAGCCCCACTCAGGCTCCTGAAATCTTTGGTGGCTTCTGCTGGACCTGAGTTTGTAACAGAAATAGCAAATGCCTTCAGGGGCTGACAAGTAATAGAATGGGCTAGAAGGGATTATGCAAATGGAGAGCTGGAGCCGCTGAAGGGGGAGCCTTTACTCCTGCAGAGCAGGAAGATGGGCCAGCATGGCCAGAACTTCCCATTTTTCAAGAAAAGCCACGTAATAATAATACCATTTTTACTCTGCCCAAGAATGCTCCTCTTCCCAGGAATGTACCCCTTAAAATGACGATAATAGCTTCCATTTAGTGAGCTCAGCATGTCTGGGTCAGCTCTAAACTAGATAGGAATCAACTTGTTGAATCCTCACAACAATCCCCGGAGGAAAGTGCTGTAATCATCCCAGTTTTACCGAGACACACGCTGCTGGAAGGGGACGGAGGAAGGACTCTGTCAGGGCAGTCTGTCCCAGCCTGTGCTCTCCCTTCTCCATTCGGGCTGGCTGGCTGGTTACACAAAAGCACCGTCTCTCACGCTGCCCAGGGTCAAGGGGTGGGTTGGGTAGAAGAAATGGAGTCCCTGGAGGCCCAGGATCTGAGACAGTCTCCCCACAGTGACATTCAAGCTGCGAGAAGAAATGGCAGTACAGAATTGTGAATCACCCACGTGACCTCTTCAGGCATCTACTCAGCTGCCAGCCCTGTTCTGGGGAGGTGCCATTCTGAGGGCCAGGAGTTTGATTTTGTGTCACTCTGGCTGCTATGGCCCCCTCCCAGGGTCTGGGCATCGCACCCTGACCGGCGCCTGCCACTGGACTGCAGCTCAAGCAGGGGTTCCGCTCCCGCCTCTGAACAGGACCCTTGGTCATCATTCCAGAGTCACATGGAGACAGGAGGACGAATGCTTCTTTTTCTCAGGGAGCCAGCTGGGTTTTTCCAGCAGATTCCAGAATGATACCCCTCGTCAGACTCTCAGCCCAGGAGGCAAGCCTAGTCCCTCCCCTTCTCTCCCTCCCCGGGGTCAGCCATCATCTCTCTCCTCTGGTGTGGACCAGACCCCAGCCACATCCTGTCAGGGGCTGATGTTGCATCTCCTTAACAACAGGCACATCCTAGGAGGAGGAGGAAGGAGGGCGAGAGAACACAGGCTGGTTAACTCCACAGATAATGCCAACCCCCTCCTTCAGCGCTTGTTGTCTGAAGTGGCCGAAGGGTAGGCCATCAGAGAGCAGTGAGAAGCAAGAAGAAAAAACCCTCCTCGGGGAAGGGAGCTAACATTTACAGAATGCCTGCCGTGTGCCAAAACTGTACATCTCCATTAATCCCCAAGCCCATCCTGTGGGATAAATGCTATTATTCTACTTTATGACCAGAGAAACTGAGGCTTAGAAACAATGAGTTACCCAAGGTCACACGGCTAGTTAAGTAACTGACACCTGGGCAGATTACTTAACCAGGTATCACTCGGCATACGCTGGACACCAACTATGTGCCAGGCATGGTTCTAGTGGCTTGGAATGTACATCTGTGAACATCACCGGCAAAGATTCCTGAAAGCCCTGGTGACATATGGCAGGCACTAAACAACATAATAAGTAAAGTATATAGTATGTTACAAGTTAGGTGGGAAGGAGGAAGCAGCATTAAGGCAAATCGGGAGCGCTGAGATAGGCAGAATGCCATTCTAAATAGGGTGGCTCAGGGTAGGCCTTGCTGAGAAAGAGGTATTTGAGGTAGGTGAGCTGTTTTGAGCCTCAGTTTTCTTATCTGTAAAATGGGGATAATACCTACCACATAAAGTTTTTACATTAAACAAGATGATATAAAATACTTGACATAGGGCCGGCCTGGCACCTAGTAAGCCCTCAATAAATCAGAAATGTTATCAATATTACTAAGTAGCAAAGTTCAGGATGGAGCCTAGATCTATTCAGTGCCAAATCTCATGAGGCTCCCAGCACAGCCTGCCATGGCCCAGGTCACTGGGGGCCCGCAGTGTGGCAGATTTGGAGGACATTGGCCACCCACAGGGAGCTGAAGCAATCTCAGGACCGAAAATGGCCATGAAGGAGCAGACCAAACCTTCCCGGGGCCTGGGCTGTGCTGAAGTGTTCAAC